GTCACTGCCGCGGTGAGTTCAGGCATAAACCGAATTTGTCAAAGCGCGATACCTCGGTCAATTTTGGACGCAGGAAGTTGCTGTTTGGGCGGATCTTATTTTTCTTAGCTGATCGACAAGAATCATGGATCAAAACCCGACTCTAAGACCAGCGCAACTTATCCATTTGACTTCACTTAGCAATTAGGAACTGCAATTCCTAGCTCATTACAGATACAACATATGTGCCATCAGTTTCCCTGTGTGGATAGGTGTTTTTATGTATGAGCCAGACATTTTAGTTCCGGACTGCAGAGTGCAGTTGACATTGGTTTCCATTTTCGGCGGATGAGCATGTGTCAAGTGGGTTTCCTTACGATTGCTTTGTTATCTGACTGAATGCAGCAAAAAAAGGTCTTCAGTGAAAGATTTCATTTCAAATATTGAATCTTGATTCAGCTTACGTCCTGTCATGAAATCAACCATAACAATTTGTGGTGCATATTTTTTTAACCCTACATATTGTCGTTACGTCTCTACGTCTTAAGTAAATTCCATCTTTTTTTCTTCTTTTTTTTTGCTGAATTCAGATCAGACAGTGATGATTTTTACCCGTAAATTGGGGCTTGTTTAAACTTGCGTAGCTAGTAAAATGTTTGCACGGAGTTATACCTGTATCTCGTGGCCTCGCCTCCAATAAGCCCGCTAAGCGCCGCACACACTTGGCAGTACGGCAAGGAATCGTGGTTTATACCTTTCAGCGTAGTTGTTACGTATCTCAGTTCAATTAAAAGATCTATTTAGGGCGACATTCTTTTGGCGAAATTTTTAAATAACTAGAAATGCATCGTACAGCCCAATAGTTATAATGCTTAGCAAAGCTCGATCATTTCTTGTCTTGATTTTTTACCCAAACAATTATGCAGCTATGTATCAAGAAATCTTGCAAATCTGTAACTTGTCGAGACATCTGTAAACTAGACTTAGATTTCTTGCTAATGCCTGGTTTAATCTACCCGATGGACTGCATTTTGCAATTAGAAACTACGATTTCTGACTTAATTTAGAAACAACGCATGTTCATTAGTTTCCTTATGGACATAAGTGTTTTTACAGATAAGCCAGATAACAAAGCTCCTAAGTGCAAAATACAATCCAAGTTTCTTATTAGATTCAAGAAAGAATTCGCAATTCGTTCATTTTCCTCGGTTAAAATGATGTCCATGCAGAGTTTGAAGCCTTTTTTACGGTGTGCGCCCGGCTTATGTTTTGGACGTGAGACCACGCAATTTTGTCACTTGGTCTCAATTGAATCGGCGAGTTCAACAATGATCCATCAGAGCCTTAATTTTAAGAATAGCATAAAGAGCCGTAAAGATAAGTAGAATACACTTTCTCTGAGGGGCAAGCTCAATGGCGCCCTTTCCTTGAGTAGGTTCACGTAAATTTTGCACGTCCACGAATCAATTTTTTTTTTTTTTTTTTTTTTTTTTTTTTTTTTTTTTTTTTTTTTTTTTTTTTTTTTTTTTGAGCGTAGTTTTTGTCTTTGCCGATTCAATTGAGAAACTAAAATCTATATTGTATACATAAGGTAGTAATGACTTCGTATATGGTAAGGTTAATTCAAGTATGTTTTTTTACTGTTGAAAATAAGTTTGGTTGGCGTTATTCAACGTAATCTGCGAAATAATATGAGGTTCAAACATTAATTGATGGAGAAGTAGTTCAGGTACTAATTGATTTAAGTGTAATGTGGGTGGCCTATATTAGGTTTTAATGAAGGTTTTACGAAAACAAACGAAGAGCCGTATTGAAGTATATGGATCTAACAGATAATTAAAATTGAAGATGGCCGAGTATCTACTTTTGATTTTAGTACAAACCTCTGAGTACTTATTTTGTGTTGTTTTTAGAAAGCATGTATCTATGGTGAAGCTCTTAAACCGCGTATCTCGCACTTGGGGTGTTTTAAGATCTGCGCTTCAATTTTATTTTTGAATGAAAAATAATTAATCATAGTTCGTTGAAGTTCGTACCTAATTTTCCCGGCCCGGAAGGCAAAAATCACAGCAGTGAACGAGGTTCCGCCTGGCATTTTGCTATTTTAAAAAATGATGTCTGCAACCTTGCAAACAGGCATACCTACGTGGTTTGGGTGTTTCACCGCTTATATGCTTAATATTGTCTCTACCGTCGACTGTAAATCAGAACAATCTGAACATGTGTTTCCTAAATTCTCCATGAAAACAGCTTCATACCTTGCGGTACAAAGCAAGGAGCGGTTTCAGGGTTTGCTGTGGCGTGTATCATTGCACCTGTTAGAATTGCGTTCACTAAGTGATTCTCATCTTTGCATGCGTATTTACGAAATCTGCAAAAACCCCAAAAAACTTTCAGATTTAAAGGGGTAAAGAATCCGGCGCTCGCCGTATCGACTTCTAAATATCACACACTGTTCCAAAGTAGCTTCAGTCCTCCACTGGAAAGTAAAAAATCAGCTCAGCATTGATATGCTGCGTAAATGCACTATCTCAAAGCTTGCATCAGCCGGAATGTTAGCCTCATACGTTGCTCCTTCTTGTATAAATTGAATGGTTATCTTTTAAGCCTTCGTAAATAAACGTATCGTCTAGAATGTCCAAAATAGTTCTTCGCCGTTTTGACGCAAAGTACAATAGTATCAAGTTTCGTTAGCATCAGAGTAATCATGTCAAAAGACATTTATTGCCACCTTATACCGGTATATACGGTATGACTTGTCCTACCCTGGAGCCGCAAACCTAATTATCACTCAAAATTCTCTGTTATGTTGTGCGCAGACTGAAATGACGCCATCTTGCAGTGGTGTGCTTCTAAAATTTTAGACGAATTTCTGTATTCTTTTTTTTTTTCTGTCAAACGAGAAGATATCCGTTAGATGTCGGCAATGAAACTGGAAAAGTGTTCAACTCGGTACCGATGTTTTGCTTTCTCCACTCCCTTCTCATAATTTAAAAGGAGACATACTAGCTTAAAATTTTCACAGAATATCCTTTAAATCGCATGAAAACCTACCTAAAGTTTTTAAGACATGACGTTGAGTAGTGTCTCATTTAGAAAATAATGTATGACAGAAAGTCTGCAAGACCACAAACCTAGATACGCACTTCTGCAGTTTCACTTTCGACGTGTTTTCTTCTGTACAGTTTTTCCAGTCTAATCTGAATTTTTTTTGTTTGCCTGTTCCATCACTAAGTCAAGTATGTAATGTATTTTAGCAGTAAGCGACTAGCAATAGCAAATCGGAAGTATCTTCATCACTTTCTGGATGCGAATCGCAGTGAGCTTTTTGTCGCTGTGGCTCCGGCTGTTTGTATCGAAATGTTGTTGTGTTTTCAACTTTGGTAAAAACAGCTGTGGTCAAGGTGACTTTCCCTTCAGTTCGGACTACTTGGAAGACGACAACATGAATGGATTCCTGCAGTTGATAGCTGATGGCTGCCCCAATTAGGGTTTTCTTTTAATGACACCTATAGGGCTGAGATGGAACAACTTTCATTATTAATCATGCTTAAAATCAGACATTAAGGCATGAGTTAATTTTGGATCATTGGTTCTGGGGGAGACAAATCTAAGTATGTTTCAGGCTTGTGAGAACGAAGAGTCGCTTTTCTTCTCGAGTTTTTAAAATTTTAGTAAGTAATTAATAAAGAATTTTCAACATTTGCAACAGAGGGGTGATCAGATTCTGAAAATGCCGAGGTATTTGTTTTCACGAATAAGCCAACACCATGCCGTGGAGGATTAAGTAGATTTTTTTGTGCCTCAATTACTAAGTTCACACCCAAGAGTTTCTCGCTTAAAAAAAAGTATTTTTACTCGTTTACTTTTAATTGTTTCCAAACTTTTCAGGGGTTCAGCCACGAAAATATTCAAAAAGCTGATTGCTAGGTGTACTGTCATGTATAGATTGGATCTCGATCAACTGGAACTTGGTTTCGACTTGTCGCATTATATGCCTGTTTTTCTGAGGTTGAATATGTACATTTCATACTGTCTCTGACTTGATGAAAATAGAGGCCTTTAACTTGTAAGATACTCATGATTACATGCTGTGCTATGGTTTCCCTTTAGTATTTATCATATTTCGATGTAAGTATTAGGTTGCCTCTGTTATAATCACATAAAAAACTGCCTGCTGACTGAAATTTCTCATGGTCAAACTTTCAGTTTGGTTCGTCCATCGCTGACTCAAGATGATCTTTGCAAATTCCGCCAGCTAGGCGACAGCTTTCTCTCCCAAAATGTTGTTTATATTCAACTTTGGTAGGAAAAGCTGTTATTAAGCTGGATTTATTCTTCTTCTTCAACGTTTATCCTGGAGGCAGCATTCTACAGTCAACAGAATTTATCACCAGTCCTGAATCTTCAGCAGCTTATCTTCGATGAAAACTAGCAAGGGAAGGCTTTTTCACCCAAAATGTTGTTGCTCCCAACTTTGGTTGGAAAAGCTGTCCCTGAGCTAGTGATATCTCAACAGTGTAAGATTCTCCGTCGGATCTGACATCATCTGCGAAGTCTACAAACTACATTGAGATTCTTCCCGCCAGACATCGACTCGCAGAACCATCAGAGTGAATTATTTGATTATTCTATGAAAAAGCTGTTGTATCATTGCATATTTGTCGATGCTTCCCATTACGTGTAGAACTAGTATCTACTCAAAATAGTCTGATAACTAACGATAACTTTGTGACGGAATTGATCATTCATTTGCATATTTAAAAGGCTAGTACGTTAACTTTGAAGAGGTTCTAAGGAATTATTAGTTTTATCATAAGTAGATTTTCATTATAGTAACTCTATAAAATTAGTAGTAATTATGCTTAATATTCTATAATCATGGTGAAATGGTTCTAGTTTTATTTTTAAAGATTAGGATCTTTGAACTAAGAAATTTGAATTTTTGCGTGTGCAGTTTCCTCCAACAGGTCAGTAGTTTTGAAGAATAACATAAAAAGGTGTGAAACGCTAGACCAATGTGGGAAGCTAATTATTCTCGAAATTTATTAGAATTATTAAACATAATGAAAGACTGAAGTAACAAAGTTTGAAAATATCACACACAAAAATGAACATAGTTAAAATATCTAGGGTAAAAATAACAAGGGTTATGAGTTTCTGTCTCAAGGAGTCCTCAGATTGAGGAATTTTAAAAAATGTCTTAGTACCTAAGGTAAAACAAAAACAATGGTTAGGAGTTTCTATCTCAAGGAAACCTCAAATCGACTAAGTTTTGAACAGTGTCTTTAGGTCAGGATGTCCACTAATTTATGATGTACTATGGACAGTCCAGAACATTGAAACATGGTCTTTAAAAAGTTTTCCTTCAATTTATGGAGGGAATTACCTAGTAGCTCAGACTCATTTTCTTTCTTAATATTTCTTGCTCTTTCCTGATAAATGTCTCAGCAGGTCATTGAACTGGCAAGCCTTAGGGTGAAGATATTTCTTTCATAATTTGGGGCAACACTTCTTCGAACAAGGAAAGACCAACAGGAAAAGTTTGTGAAATTCTTTTGACAGAAAACATGCAGTACACTCTCCATGCCCAAGGTATGAGCTCTTTCATTTTAGAATTAATGTAAGTACAGAAAAAGGGTCCTAGAATTGCAGCTGACTTCCTGTGTACCAGTGGCATGGCGTGAATTGCGTTGTATCGATTGTTATGGTATTTAAACCTGTGGCAAAGAATCGTTTATTAAGGTGTTCACTGTGAACACCCTGTTTATCGATCCTTCTCTATAAGTTTAAATGGCATAACAATCGATATATCGCAATTCACGCCACGCCACTGCTGTGTACGGTTTTTCTAAAGCACTGTGGGTCTCAAAGCAATTTCGAAAACTCTGAAGATCCACCTATTTATGTATGCCATAGTGGTGGCTACTTCAGGAATAAGGATTAGGAGGGTTGACACATTGAAATCAGGGGTCTGGCGGTGGTTTTCTGTGAAATTTCTTAAGTTCACCGTAGTTTTAGTTTTCTCATTAACTCTGAAGATGTGCTGGAGGTAACTGAGATATTTATGCAGAAAACAACAACAAACAAGAACATTAGAAAGCAAAAGTTATGTTAGCATTAGCAAGAACAAGAGTTAAATAGGGTGATCTAGAGGACTACCGGCTGACAGCAAGAGGGCTGCCAGATTTGGGGGTAGTACATCACTTTCAGGAGTTCGTCGACAATATTTTTAACCCATGATTGCATTGTCGAAGAATATACAAAACTTACTGCAGGCAACTCCCCTTAGTTGGGACAAAATCCCCTGAACCGAATCTTGTATATATGATAGCAATGTAAAAAAACTCTGCTTCATCCGGGGATAATTCCTCAGGATGGATAAGCCCCAATTAAACGAAGTTTACCGTAAGTGTTAAATCCTCGAATTAATTGAGAATCAAAATAAAATTTTTATCTTTAGCATGTTTGACTAGAAAGATTGGCTTAAAAAATTGAAGCCAGGGCAATGGACAACTTATCCAAGAAAACTATAACATATTTAAGGAACTTCTTATGGTACATTGAAAGGGTGGTATCAATAAATAGGAGGTCTGCGCGATACATTTTAAGAGGCAGGACTGTCAGTGGCTTTCTTGTCATTAAAGAATAACCTGTGGCAGTATTCGTTTAATTGGTAATACCCGGCGGATGGAGGTAAGCAAGATGGTCGCATCTTCATTGAGATGTTTCACAATTGTTTTTTGGAAGGAAACCAGCCATCATCGGCTAAAATTTTATAGAGATGAACTTGACGTGGGCCAGAAAAGTTACAATAATTTTCTAGTCAGGATGTTGGTTGGTTCTCTCCAAAAGACTAAGATAGAGACTAACGTTTTGGAACACCGTAATGAAGGAGTGATTTCATTGCTTAATGTTATCCAAAAGAAGACATCCATTAGATGACTTATGAGTGAGTGTCATGAAATCGGCTCCATGTCTTGGATCCTGAGGCTATTCAGATTTGTTTGGAATATCCTCATCAATGAAGTCTTCTTGATCTTGTTCGGGATTATTTGATGTCTCTGCAAACTGTGCTCTCTCACGAACATTTTTCAGCCTCCTCTTCATTGCCATGTAACCTGTAACAGGTTGAAGGATGTAAGAGATAGTCAATCAACGCATCTGATAATTATTGCAAGAACTGATAGTTTCCAGGTGAGCATTGAGCTGTCATGTTGTCTGGCCTGGCAAAAACTGGGGACCATTTGAGTATTGAGGTGGCCACTTCTGATCCTCCGCTAGTGAGCATTACCAAGCAGTGACTTGTACGTTCATGCGGACTTTTAATACTGTAAGTGCAAAAGGCTGCCCGAAGCTTTTTTTCTATATTCATCCCAATCCCTTAGTGTTTTCTTTACCTTTCCTTTTTTTAAAAGCAAAATGGAGCATTTAGCACCCCATTGACCCAATCAATGTAGATAGTGGCTGATCGAAAATCTGGACCAGTGTAATTTCTGATCCCCCCCTCCCCCCACAAAAATGACTGCTGAACATCAAATTCTGTAACAAATATCCCACACTATGCTCAGTATCTAGATCTGGGGAGACAGTATTTTTTTTAAATTTTGCAGGCGTGTGAAGTTAAGACTTGTGTTCAGAGAAAATAAGTAACCTTTTTCAATCTACAATTCCAAATTCCTGAGACTTATTCAAATGGACTGCATTTTACAATCTGGGTTTCTGGTTCCGTTCAGTAACAATGGATGTACCATTAGTTTTACTACGTACATAAGTGTTTTTACGAATGAGCCAGAAATTGTGATTCCTATTTGCAAAATGAAGTCCAAATCTCCAAAGACATGGGTGGATGAGCGCAGATTCTACCAGTCAGCTTCTCAGTTTGAGTGAAATATTGGTACTCACATTTAATTGTTTGTATGACAGTCCCAGGGTTCATTTTTTTATTGATTTTCTGCTCCTGGTTTTCTTGTTTGGGCACAGCTTTTTGCAGTCTAGAAAAAAAACATGATGAATCATTAATCGAGTGAAAATAAGGAGCCTCACTTCAAAATAAAATTGTTTTGGGGGATTCCAGAGTGGATTCTTGACAATGGAGGAATTGTTCTAAAGAATTAAACGCAATTGGGCATGCTAGCAAGTACTGAGTTTTCTCATTAAGACTCTTCAAACTTCCATTTAAATAAAATAAAAGAAAAATTCCTGGATGGTAGGATTTAAATAAAATAAAGACTCCATTACATATTCCGGGGAAAATATTTTTTCCATTGGTAACATTAGGATGGAAAAGAACGCTTGTGATTAGTTGATTTAACATTATTATGTACTTTTTAAGTGTTTTCATCAGGTGGAACTTTTCGTTGGTTCTTTGATTAGCTTTTGATGACTCATCGTCAATCCGTCATGAAATGGGCATGGTAACAGAGGGATTTAATTCAGCTTTGACAACCACAGCACTCCACTTTAACTCAATTTTACCAGGTAAAATCGGGAAATATATTATACAACATACATCATACATTTATTCAATCTATACTACAAACTCAGAGGATTCCTTTATTTGCATATCTGGTAACGCTAAGTTCCTGCCTTCTGTAGGGCCGATTTTCGTGACTTTTGGGGCTATCGTCAGGCGTGACTTTGGGGGCTATCTGTCTCTATGTGGGCCCACTCTATTCAGATTTTGAAAATATGACCCAGGTTCTTCTATATTACAAGGTAAAGTTGCAAAGTCTCCCATTTAAACAGTGTAAATTTTTATTTTTTGTCACAGTTCGTTTGGGCGTTCTACTGGGTCAATTTTAATGATTTTGTAGCTATTGACAAGTGATATGTGCCTAGAAGAGCCCGCTCTAATCATATTTTGGAAATAAGACCAGGTTTTTTCACAATCATGTTTTAAAAGTGAGCATGCACCGCAACTGCTGCCGTGTTGCGCAGTGGCCGGGTAGCCTGCGCTCTAGCTCTCGTCTGTGAACATCAATTCACTTTACAAATTTCGAGGTGGGCCGTGCCTGAGATGTCGGAAGTGTCGAGCGTTCCCGTCTTAAGTCTCAGTTTGTGGGTTCGATCCCTGACTCTCTGACCTTTTAATTATGAACATACATTCATCTTGCATTGTTTTACTGCAATGGTTCCTTAATCAATCATTGTGAAATGCATGCTTTTGATCTCAAATTTTTTCTTCTTCATTTATCAAAAAAATAAGTCGGTAAAATATACCTCATATTGTAATTTTTTAGAGGAAAAATAAAACCAACATTGATAAGAGGCTAAAAGAGAAAGACGCATCGATAAAGATCGGGAACAAGAAAAAAATGGAAATAAAGAAAAAATTAAACAGCACTGATAGTATATTAGGCACTTACTACTTCTGTCAGGAAAGTTTTGCCAAGATTTGTTGAGCACATTTTAATATGAGAATATGAATTTTATTAACGCTGCGGCTATAAAACTGCGCCGCCAGGCGACTCTTCGATATCAAAGAACGCATTTAGGAAGTTGGGCCGTGTAGCGACGAGGGGGCGTAGCCTCCTAGTAATCATTTAGCCTTTGGCGCAATTAGAGATAGTTGAACTGAATTGGTAGCTGCAACATGGCCGTGTATTTGCATGGCAAAGATTGTAAAAATGTAGTGCTTAAGACATGCAAGTTAGCGAACAAGTCAGCAAGAATTCATTAAAGGTGCTGGATTGGATTCCCATTCAGAATGTTATGCCACCCTCAATTGAATCAGTGAGAACGAAAAAACCAATTCAGAATAATGAAAATAATCAAGACACATACAAAACTGCACAGTAGGTGAAAAAGTTAGTCAAAGAAAAAGATTTTTGCTGCTGAAAGACGAGTACTTGTGGACTCTTTAAAGGTCAAAGTTGGAACAGATGCGCTAACTTCAATGATCTTCATGTAAATTAGCTGTTTTTAATGGGAATTGAGCATTTTTGTGTTACCAAGTTGGTGTGTTTTTGTTCTCGCTGATTCAATTGCGAAACTTACGAGCATTAAGTACTGTGCCTTAACCTAACGGAATTAACAGTGTAAAAAAAAGAAGAAAAAAAGTAAGTGTTAGATAGAGGTTAGAGCTCTGAACATTATTATCTTTCGCCTCATTGCATAGGAGAAAAGGAAGATGGAATTACCTTTCAACTTTCTGTTTTTCTTTCTCAAGTTGCTTTTTTAACAATACAAAGTTTGACCTTGTAAGGAAGTTTTCTTTGAAAGTGAAAAGATCTACATTAATTGTCTGATACAGGAACAGTTCTTTTATCACTTGCAGTGCAGGCTGAAAAACAGAGCAGAAGTTTTGATTAGAGCCCTAAAGCACATTTGATTTAGAATATAAAATTAATTAAACCTCCATTTATTGTTTTGTACTTTTCAGGCAAAATGTAGAGAACCTCTTCAATGGATCATGGATGATTAAGGTTTTTCGACGAGTTAAACATTTTTTGCTGCACCTGGCCTGTTTGTTTTATTTGTAAGTCTTGGTTTTCAAATAAAATAATTTTGCAACTCATTTTTCTTTGTTTTTTATTCTCCGATGGTTGAAAATAAGGTTCTGATACTTTAAAATGTCACAGGTTTACAAGTAAAGAAGGTAGAGATGTTTTTAATTATGAATTTTCGATCTGATTAGGTTTATATTTGTGTGTTTCTCATTGCAGAGCATTTTGCAATAGGATTTTTTATACTAACTACATATCGACGGTGAAACTACCAAACCACGTATCTCGTTTGCGGTGTTTAAAAATCTGCGCTCACATTTTATTTTTTTGAAGTAGCCCAAATCAATATCATTCCTTGAAATTTTCACGGAATTTTCTCCGCACAAAGAGGAAAAATCACAGAAATTTTCAAGACTGGATGTTAAGTAGTTTTTCATTTAAAAAATAAAGTATGACAGGAAGTCTGCGACGTCGCAAACCGAGATACGTGGTTTGGTAGTTTCACCGTCGATATTCGGATTTTGATACTTATTTTCAAAACAATGGTTGAATTTATATTGTCCAGATTTGCTGTTTTAGGTGACTTAAAAGAAGATTCTTACCGAATTTATGAATTCACATAGGAAGCAGATCCAAAGGCTTAAATTTAAGACGAGTAAATGTGGTATACTCTCACTATTCGTTCTTGTAAAAGCCGCTGGGATTATCATGTATGAAGGCATCAAAAATAAGTACACAAAACACCTGAGAAAAGACATCAGATAGCTCCAGTTTTTATATGCAAGAGGTGTCCAACACTACAATTCAGTCAAATAGTTTTGTTCTGCAATTCTTTTTTTCTTACAAAATCATTAGTTATGACTAAGCATTGACATGCAACAAAAATGGGCAAGTTATGCTTTCTACAGAGTCATGTTTTGATTTATCAAATTCATGCTCAGCGAAAACTGAGAAAATCCATTAGGACGCAAAGTTTGGTTATTAATGTAGATGCTGCTTTTCGAAGAATGTGGCGCAGAATGCTATCCACCATGGTGCTGCATACCATGGTTTCCTCCGCCTTGGTTTTATAAATATTAAAAGTTTAGCATCCAGTTCGAATTATGTACCACTGATTTATGAGAGGAAGAAACCAAGATATGTACAACCACAGTGGATGATGTTACACACACTGTTTTTCAATGAAAAATATTGTCATTAATGTTGGGCATAAACACTAAGACGTTTTGGTAGATCCAATCACTTTGCAAATCCATCAGTTTAAATTATCAACACGGAATTTATAACTAACAACACTGACTCACTAGCTCTTACTTCATAAGAGCGCAAAATAATAAAAGGGAAAAACAGAAAAGGTAATTGAATTAGTGAAAATGAAAACACACCAACTCAAACTGCACAATACCCAAATGGAGAATTTGCACGCAATTTTTTTATTGCTTCATCTGAAAGTGCCTAATGAGCTGAGTTCGCAATATTTTTCATAATTTTTTTCTGACATGGGAAATTGGAGAAAAATTGATTTAAAAGTGAGAAAATGTGCCGCCTTGTGACGTCATCTGGCGGCATTTCCCATTTAAACACATGTATTTTAGCGGAATCGGTTATTTTGTCATATCTCCTCTAATAATTGCTCAATTTATGAATCAAGGGTATCTTCGTGTTCAGTTTACTCAGAGGATTCCACTTAAACAGGAAATTCATCAAATTTCAGACCCTTGCAAATTCTCCATTCCATTTAATTTGCCCAATCTCTGTGAAAGCCTTAGAAGATGGCGCATCTATGGCATATTGGGTCTTCAAAGTGTCCCTAAGTAATTGTCCTTCCGCACCTAACAGCTTCTTTTTCGATCGACTTTTCCATTAACTGTTCATTGTTTTTTGTCTCTTGAAAATTTTCATTTATCAGAAACGGTGTGTTTTCATTCTGACTGATTTTGATTTAAGTGTGCAGGAGGGCTTCAGGCTGCCTCACAAATCCTGGGGAGTCCCCTAGCTTTTAAGTTTGAGAGCTGCTGGTGTAAAATAATACGTACAGTTACAATCTGTGAGAGCTGTCTTGAAGTCCCAGTAATTTCCTATGATCAAAAGCCTATGACACACCGCCTTTAATATGGTGTAATTGACTTTTCAAGTTCTGCAGGTGACTGAGGACTAGATTTACCTACTTTAGATGGATGCAAAAGCAAATTGCTTACCATAAAATGCAATAGAGGGTAGACATAATGGACAAGATCCAACTTTTTTCACTATCCATCTTCTCGAGGTTGCACAGAGCTCGAATGAACCATAACAGTTGATCCATTATACTAATCACCAGAACAGCCTTAAATAAGAAATCCACACACCTGAAAAAGAAAACAAGAGATATTATTGAAGAATCGAGCTTTGGTATGAATTTTTTAAGATATTTTGTCAGAAATAAATTGTTTAAATCATATTACCTAGTTAACTCTTTGGTACATTTTGATGTTAGTGCAGTCAACTTTACTCATCAATTCGTCGCCTACCTGACATAAGGGCGTAACTACACTTTGTAATGAACCCTATACAATTCAAAGCTATTCTGGGCTCATCTTAATGTGTTGTTACGCCCTTATGTCAGCCAAGCAACGAATTAATCAATGCAAATCAGGGGCTGACTGTTTAGAGAGGCAAGAGGGAAATTGCTCCCTCAATTTTAGCCACGAAGGCCAATTAAAGGCCCCTTTGTGCTTTAGGTATAGGGTCATATTACGCACTTTTGAAGGAACCTCGGAGGGCTTTTTAGGGCCTCTTTTGAGCCTTTTCTTGTCCCCTTAAGTGAAAGGCTAATCCTTTTTTCCGAGGGTTGTGTCCCCAGAAATATTTGGAGCCAGTCCATCCTTGGAGCGATTCTTTATTTAACAAGTCCCCAATTCTTTGAAGAGAAAACTATTTAGAATTCAAAGAGTCTGCGTGTTATTTATAATTAACAAATTATGCTGCAGCCCTCATTGGTTTTTTGTTGAATTTCAAATATTAATCCAAGGGACTCATATTTAATACCTATACATTTTTTTAATATTATTGATATCTATAAATCAATATGATTTTATCAAAGTTTATTTTCTCATGAAAAAATGAGGTAATAAGAACAAGAGCAATATCTTTATCCTGGTTTTGCACATTCAACCACCCACAGTGATATTTGAAATATAGGTAAGTGCCTCCTTTGATTCTTACCCCAGTTTAAAAGCGGAAGTGGAGAGCAAAGAGAGACTAATCTGCCTCCAAAATAAGCAACTGTTGATGCCCTTCAACGTTACACTTCTGCTTACGCTGTGCATGAATCCTCCGATCATAAATGCAGAGCTCAGATTTGAAGGCAGATGGTAGTTACTGAAAGTGAAACTTGAAAACATGTCACTGGCAGGAAGATTGTTCAAGCAGGTTACGAAACAAAATCCACTGAACAGCAGCTCCCACGAAATGATGGGCATTCGGTAGTCTTTTGTTCGTTTGAAGATCAAAGGTGAGACAATCTGAGAGAGAGGACAGAGAAAGTAAAAAAATTCAATCTGAAAAGTAGAAACCATTGGAAAAGAAGATCTGCTCAGAGCAATGGTCCACTTAGGGCAGTTGGCTCCGAGAGCTTCATTGTGGCATTTGGATACCTCTCAGATGCATAGAAGTCATTTTAATTTTTTATTATTTGTACTTACTGAACCTGCGCACCAATTCAAGTAATATCATCATTATTTGTGCAATAGTATACAACTTTCTGCACGATAATTTTTTTTTTTTTTTTTTTTTTTTTTTTTTTTTTTTTTTTTTTTTTACTGTCTTAGAATTATTGGGTAAAAATCAATGAATTTGGAGATCAAAAATGAAATGAGTTTTCCAGTAAGTATGAGACGAGTACGAAAATAAGTGTTTAATCAATAAATTGACGATGAAACTCCCGAGTCTCATCTTGGTTTCTAAAATTGTAGACTTCTTTTCATAGGTACTTTATTTTTCAACTGAAAGCTTCTTCAGCTAAGTTCTTAAAAATTGCTGTGATTTTCCTTCTCTGCACAATAGAAATTCCGCACAAACTTCAAGGAATGATACTGATTATTTCTCCTATTAAAAATGAGATAGGAGCAAGGATTTTAAACATCATCGAAGAGATACGAGGTTCTGGACTAGGACGATTGATGCGTATCCTTAATGAGCACCTGCTTCTAAAGTTGGACTTGGTTGTTATGACAATGAGCTGAGCTCAATTTTAGGGCTTAGTTTTTTATTACTGTGAGACCATAATCGGCAGCGATTCAGGGCTCACCCAACATAATAGTGATTTTATACTAATAGGTCACAACCCAAGAACATTTCAATCATGAAAGTATCAAACCCACGGAGCGCAATGGTCGTGCTCGTGTTATGCAATTTCTGCTCTTACTTTACTGTTTCAGGAGTTTATGCCTTCTTCATAAACTTTGAGTGTGATAATTGCATACTTGATCGTGACAAATACGTTACACCACAAAATTGATCGGTGTGAAAAAAGCACATTAATTTACCTCAATGTAGACACTGTTGAGGATGAACCACATCCCGTAAGATATGACGGCAGCAGACAAAATATCCATGGTCGAATACCTCCTTGATGATTCTTCCTTATATTCTTTTCAGTTGGAGAATGAACTTGGCCACCACACTTAATAAAAAGATTGTGAGTGAGGGCCTCCCGTTTCAGAGCAGCCTCCACAGGAATAAAATTCCTCTACGGCATGATCATCAATTAACTAAAATTGATGTTTTCAATTAAAATTGACTGAAGAAGAGTTGCGAATGGAGAAAGTTGCGAGAGATTCGTGCTGGTGTGTTTTGAAATCATAAAAATTACCTGAAATCTTGCAGGGCACTGATAAGATATAAGTGATAAGGGAGTCATAACATAACCTCTAAGTGGCAAGTCAGGGACAATCTTCGAGGATGATAGGATGATGGACTGTAAACAAACTGAAAAGCGGGAATTGAATTGCGTTGTTTAAATTGCCATAAATATCTCAAACTCAGATTAAAGTTCTTCTCCGGATTGTGAAACGCTTATGCATAACTTATCCAGTTATTAAATAGTGTTGATTAAATTTTGAAATTTAGAAATTTAAAATTTCCCGCGTTCTTTTGCGCAACTGTTGACTGGTGAGTCTGTTCGGAGTTGCGAGGGCGGAAGGGGGGCGCAGCGCAAGTGTGATAAAAAAGTTCAGTAATCATAAACAAAACATGAGCTAAAATGGAAAAGTTTAAAGTTGCTCAATTTTCCGATTTGACAATTTGCAAGTTAATTTCAAAGGATAGTTTTTAAGTGTTAGAATGACTGTGTGTTCTTTTAGATCCGTGATAATCGCTTTATTCGTGTAGTTTTGATTCTTATCAGCAGGCTATCATGTTCCACACCAAATGTGGAGAAAAAGTTATCCTCAGCAACAATAATCGCACTGCCAGCCGAAATAACTCTGAATTCAATCATGGTGTCGTATTTAGTAGCACTCCATTGGTTGAAAATCAACTTTTCAGAGTCAGAATAGATAAGAAGGTAATTTCACTTCACTCCACTAAGCGAATGAAAGGAAGTCCATACGTCTCAATTGAAGATACTCGTGGGCAAACATTCATTTCCTTATACTTTCTAAGTTAAGATCAGGGTACACCAAAAGCCAGTAAACAATATTCGTTTCCACCGTAAATGGTTCAATTCACAGTGTGGTCATCAATCAGGCTTGTAACTGGGAGTTTTTAGTCGCAAAACTATAGCATCCAGAGTGCCGATTCTAATTTTTGTACAACGAATTCTGAGACCACTAAGCCGGAGCAATTGTATTAATATCCTTTCTGAACGTAAATAAATCATTCATTTTTGGAGTCAAATTGTCTTTGCTGCTGATACAAGTGCTTTTGGAATTGCTGTGTCAGGTAGTTGTGATTGCCCAGGTGTGACAAAGTTTACACATCAGATGTCTTCGTCACCAATATTCAGTGCCATTCAATCATCTGAAAGTAATCTAAACTGGGCAGACAATTTGGAAGGTGATTGCCTCCTGTCTACAGACACTTCTATCATAGTCGACTAATATTAATTGACGGAGGGCGATATTGCTGTTGCACATCGATAGGTACCCATATTGGCCGTCTCTGTAATTATGATGGTCAAAAGCCACAACTGCCCACTTATCTGATCTGAGTTATATTGATTCTTAAAAGTTGTGCGCCTAATTAGTTGCTCTACTCACTGACGAGACAAAAGATCCCTCAGTTTGAATTCCTGCCTCCAATATCCTCGAAATCATGAGGGTAGCAGATCTTCTTTGCCTCCCAGTGAATTGGCTTACTAATCTGGCTAGAGGTCTATTTAAGGGTTGTCACACAGTGGTTGTAAAATAATTCAGTAAGCGGCAACTAGCCTTGGAGTTATTATCATTCAATGCTCAATTGATTTATGTATTTTTTTGTTGAGTGTACACCTACCACGAATACAAATTACTTTATAACAGAATTGACCAAAAAAGTTTGTTTTATTTTTTTCTTTATAGACTAACTCTTGTCGGGGAAGTGTAATAATTGGTGTGACTGGAGCCATTTCAGAACTTACTTCTGTTCCTGCCAATGCTATAGATCTACAAAGGAACACTTGGGTAAATTATACTTATATATACCATTTTCTCTCATAGCTGAAGCCTCACTTTAGCACCTATTCAAAGATGCTTGTGACTTCAAATTTATCACATCATATTAATGACAGCCATGGTGGTCATCCCAACAAAAAGGTGTTGAAACCCATGGATAGTAAAACCCTTTGGTAAAACCCCCTAAATTGAGAATACCATGACTAGAGCCTGTTTCAGATAACTTTACCTCTTTTTCTGTATGCACGGGATAGGAAATTCCCTATTCTTTACATGCTGTGAATGTTGAACTTTGCTTGTAATGTTTTCCTTGTAGTTGTTTATGTTTATACTTGTCAGTGTCATATGCATGAGCTTGACTCTTGCTTGTTTTCTTTTCCGAATAAACTGCACTCGGTTACAGCATCTCATGGAGTTACAGTCTCTTATCCCTCTCCTACTGACAGTGAAAAGGACAAAGTTATCTGAAACGGTTCATGAACAGGGCATGGGTTTCAACTTCGCAGTCTGCCGAATNCCCCCCCCCCCCCGATGTAATGCCTCCAGGCGGTCCCGGGGTCCTTATTAAGCCCGCCTAACATAGTTTTAGACCCAATCTCTCTACTTCTTGTCTTTATACTGTATGTCACAAATGTAATTTCACTTAATAAAGAATTTTAAAAAAAAAAAAAAAAAAAAAAAAAAAAAAAAGGGCATGGGTTTCAAAAATGAGCAGTCCAGGTTGGTAATGCAAAAATTGTGCATTACTTACTTTCCAAATTGGGGATAATTTGAATTAAATATTAATGGAAAAATGAGCTAGGTAGGATAAACAAAAAAAAAAATGAAGTCATCCTTAAAAACGATCCTAGAGAATCAGTGGCCTTTAAATCTAGAACACCAAGAACCCATTGCACCTCAGATTGTTATGACCAACAGAAGATTTAACTTGTCAGTCAAAATGCCTTAATAAAGTTAAAGAGAAACCAATGAAATAATAGCTAATAGGAAGCGCAAGTATTCACTTGAAGCTATATTTTCATGGGAACTCTAAACTGTGTATAACCCATAGTCCTTACTGATCTTAACTCTCTTGACACAAGCAGAGGATTTACAAACATAAAATGAAAACTTCAGAGAAAAAACTACTGTAAAATTCCATTTTGCCTCAAAGTTTGTCTCAGATAAAATTAGAAGACTTTTTCCGGGAGAACCGTTCCCCTATGTCCAAAGGTTATGTAGCTGCTATGAGTACAAAGTGAATTTTTTTAACAATTTTTGATAATTTCTATTACATACCTTACTGTGTTCACTATCTGACTTCGACTCCTATGAGTGGATTTCTTTTAGTATCTCCGTATTGCAGCAAAAAAATGTGTTAAAAGATTTTTGAGTTGTTTTTCTTTTAATTTTGTGGTCTCTAGATCTTGTGGGACTCGTTCATATTCCATAATGGAGATTGTGTTTCCGATTCATACACTGGTGATCTCAATGATGTTAATGAAGGAGACCTGGTTGGCGTTATGGTTACTTCAACTGTGAGTTTTCTGCAAATTGCATTCAGTACATACTCACACATATTCTTGCTTGAAATTTAAAGAACCTGTACAATTAATACGTAGTATGTTCAAGGAGATATTGAATGATGACATATATATTGATTATAAATGAGCTGTTTTCAACGTATAGATTTGAAGATGTGTGTACACAAGATGAACATAAGAACAAAAATACATGAAGAGCATTTGAAAGTAGCCAATACATAACAATTAAGAGAAAGAGCTTTTTGGATAACTTTTGCAGTCCTGCTCAGAGAATCTACCTTTAAGGCCCATCAATAAGTCAATATGCCAAGGAAATGATTATTTCATTAGTTTGATTTTCTTAAAAATGTACGAATATCTAGGAGTCCTGATGGCTAGTTAAAGATTTAGGGTGAATTAAAGCTTTAATGTGTTGCCAAAAGCTAATTTCATTTTTACTTCAGTTCTAATATTGTGGTCTTTATTTGTAGAGAGACCTTGTGTTCTATATAAATGGTGTGCCACAAGGGATTGCTGCATCAAACCTCCCTCTTGGGCTATATGCAGTTGTGGACCTTTTCACCAAAGCCGCACAAATTACCGCCCTTCCTGTCTCTAACTACTGGGTCGAAGAGTTCGACCTGGATCGTGAGTTTTTAGAATCTCCCGTTGAAGAGCTGATGACACCTGTCACAACAACTAATGATCTGGTCACTAACTTAGATATTAAAATGACTATTCCGCAGTCAAGTTCCCTCAATCAGCTCACAAGGCAACGAGCCAACGATAGACTAAGGTATGAAAAAAATTTTTCTCTCCCTTGTTTAAGGAAAAATATAATATAAATTTAAAATGATATCGCTTTGCATTGAATATTTATGGTGCAAAAAATCCATAGTTTGAAGAAAAAATCAAGAGAAAAGATTGATAGAAAGTTGACTAACTATTCATCACAGGATACAACTTAGTCACTCTCAAAAGGATCATGAACTATTGTAGTTCTTGTTGTCATGCCGAACTGCACTGACTTGGTTTAAAAAGGAAAAATTTTTAAAATATATGAACGTTTCAAACCCTCGTACAAGATAGAAAGATAATAGACACAAAAGAACTTTAAGGACTAACTTATTAGACCCACAGGATATTTTATACCCCCTTAAAGAAGAGAGGTCATGGCTCTTAAATCATTTATCTTTCGGCAACCTTCATTTTGTCACAAAAAAAGAAAGAAAGTAAGAAAATTTTCGGTTCCTATTGCTGAATTTTAATCATACTAAAACAGCAAGACATTTTCGACAGTCAAAGGCTCATTCTCAGTCGCAAAAAAAACAAAGAATGATGAAAAAATAAGCGGTGACCTAATCTCAGTTTTTATAATGCAGTCTCTGGAATATGGTAAACAGACAATCTGAGGCATCACTTACTTCGATGAACAGTATAAGAATGAGGTAATTGAAGCACACTAAATTTTTAACTGGACGTATTTCTGTCAAACGGAACTATGTGTTTTAAGACATGAGCTCTGAGACCCACAAGAATGTGTGCATAACAGGGCTCACGTCATAATGCACACAGTTCCATTTGGCAAAAACACATCCAACTGTCCACCATTTGGATTGTACGTTGCAAAAAGGAACCAAAAACATTCCAATGTCGCTGTGATAGTGCAACTTTTTTTACCTTGTAAGTATAAACTGGATTACATTTTGCAATAAGGAACCACTATTCCTGGCTCATTTTAGGAAAAACATATGTGCCATTGGTTTCCCTATGCAGATATGTGCTTTTATGGGAGCGCCAGAGATAGTGGTTCCTTATTGCAAAATATAATCCAACTAATCACCTAAACAAATCTAGCTTTACTCCTGACAAAATATAATTCCAGGCGAAAATTGCCTTTGTATGTATAAGTTTTTGCGTGATTTTAATAATTTTATTGCAATGAATGTAAGTTGTACAATCCTAGCAACATTGGAATGCTCTTGGTTCATTTTTGCAAAATGTAATCCATTTTAAAATAGCATTAGCCAGAAACTTGCGATTTGCATAAAAAATTATCTTTTGCTGAGGTTTGTTTTTTGTGTTGGTGTCCTCTCAAGAGCCCTAAAAGTTGAAGACATAATTCAGAAAATTATCCTCGACAGCCTAAGTTTTTCCTTCAAGTGCTTTAGAAGAGAAATTACAAGAAACTTTGCTTAATTTTTTGATATCTCTGTACCTTTCCATCTTTTTCTGTCCAGATTTCACTCAAAAACTGGTTCGCTTGTAAAATTATCCTTCAATAAAAGAACAGCTGAAAGATTGCGTCCATTTGATGACTTCAATAATGGTGTTGTCATGACTCATCGGCCCCTTGAAAATGATGAGTTATTCGAGGTAAATTTTCTTTTTCGTGGAGTGCATCCTTAATCAAGGAGACATGAACAGCAGAAATTTCATCTTACCTTTTACTGTATACATTTCTTAAGTCATAAATTAAAATTAACAGGCTGTAGGAGATGTATTGTAGCAGAGACGCACTCTAGTTAGGAGTACGCCTCTGTTAGGAGCACCTCGGACATAGGTTAGAGATCGCTTATTTCCGAGGTGCTCCTAACAGAGGCGTACTCTCTAGCTAAAGTGCGTCTCTGCTCCAGTATTCACTGTTAATGTGTAAAATGCCGCAACAGAAGGGTTGCAAAATTTGGATGTCCATCTTTTTTTGCTTTTTGCTCGTTGAAAATATTGGATGTAAGTTTTTAGTAGTATCAAAACACCAGGTGTGAAGTTGTAAATTAAGTCTGCATTGTATACTTCTGATAAGTAAGATCAACTGAAAAGAATTATTTTATGAAGTTTGTGTAAGATTTTACGTACACTAGATATAAACTGAATAAAGCGGAGCTATCACTTTTTTCATATGCTATGACATATAACTATGCGCAATAGCATAGCGCTAAGAAGTATGTAGTTAAGCAGCGGGGGATGCTATCCAACTGGATGAGAAGATGATAAAGAAGCTGTATGTAATATTTAGGATTTTAATAAACTCTGCCACTGTTAAACACATCATATCATCCTCTTGGTTATGTTTTCCACTTAAAATCAGACTTTAGTTGTGTAAACTCTCTGTAACATTGGAACAGTCATCTTCCAGGGAGAATATTTTGTTGACCAAGTGAATTCTATTTTGCTCACAGATAAGAATAGACAAACTCGTAGACAAATGGTCTGGAAGTATAGAAGTCGGGGTCACAACGCATTTTCCACATGCCCTCGACTTTCCTGCCACAATGACAAACCTTCGTTCAGGGACTATCATGATGTCTGGTTGTGGAATTTTAACTAATGGTAAAGGAACTCGGCGTGAATATGGTGAATTTAATCTGGATGATTTGCGAGTAAGTTTTTTCTTGTCTTGTGCCCTAAACAGCATCATTCATTTATTTTATTTATTTATTCTAGTTTTTAATCTGAATTTTAAAAGAGCAAAACACAAGGATCTTTTTTGTGTACCAATTTAAACAGTGAGAATTCTGAAAAATTGGCAGCACTGTTTTTCCTCCAGACATATCCGTCATGATTTATTGGTTCCAGGTAGAAAAGCCTGTATCAATACTAATGGATTGTTTCACTTGCATTTGTGTAAACGGGACTCAGTGTTGCCAATTCGCAAGAACTGCCAAAATTTACATTAGAAGATCCTAGATGAATCGTCAGTTTGTTTTTTAATGCATAAAGTACTCTTTAATTTTTTGAGACTGTAAATATGTGAATGGTAACATCTAATAATTTCTGAAAAGTTCTTGGTAAGGGCCGTTTTTAGGTTTGTTAACACAATTCAAATGATCGTTTGTTCTGATGTAAAGTTAAAATTTTCCAGCCCTTCTCTGCATGTCTCTCAGAAAACTAAATAGCACTAAGCTACAGCTCTTTAAAGTTTAAAGAAAATAATGTGCATATTTAAAATAAAATTCCTCTTTATGTGTCTCCATTATTTTTCGAGTTTTATGAATCTGAGGATGTTCTCTTATTCTAGATTGGCGATCGAATTGCAATGATGCGAAAATCTGATGGCACCCTTCACTACTTCATCAATGGTCTTGATCAAGGAGTGGCAGCCAGAATTGTGCCCCCATATTGTTATGGAGTGGTTGATCTTTACGGAAGGACTGTGAAAGTGAGTTCTAAGTTTGAATCAATCTGCAAAAAACAATGCAAATTAGGAAAAATAAAGAGAAAAAAGTTAATTTATTTCTTTCTCAGTAGTAGACTTGTTTTAATTATAAATGGAATCTGAAGATATTGAGAAACGTTGCAAGTGCCCTAATCTTTTCAAAAGTGATCGAAAGTAAGGTTGGGACAGATCTTACATCAATATATTTGAAAGGTATATCGATGGTGAAACTAGCAGACCACGTATCTTGTTTGCGGTGTTTAAAAATCTCCACTCCCATTTTATTTTTTTAAAAAGAACAAATCAATATAATTTTTTGAAATTTTCTAAGAGTTTTTTCCGCTCAAAGAAGGAAAATAACGGACGTTTTCTAGAATTGACATCGAGAAGTTTTCCATTTAAAAAATAAAGTTTGACTGGAAGCCTACAACGTCGCAAATCGAGATACGTGGTCTGGTAGTTTCACTGTCCATATGCGCAAAATTATTTGCTCATGGTGGATGTTTCTGAGACTGAAAATGCCCAATCTGTAGGTAATACCCAACTTATCCATCTGTCACCTAAGCACGAACGAATTGCGATGTGTTTGTTGGTACGGTAATGAACGGATAAGACGACGGTTCATTGGTAAGGAAAAATAACGCCATCCTAAAAAATTAGCTGTTCCGGGAATCAGCCTAGATGTAAAATAAAAGGTTTTAATGTTTTTTTTTTGCGTTTTGGTGTTTTTGAGGATATTGCTCAAGTTTAAGTCAACGAAACTATGTCATGCTATATATGTACACACTGTGTCTTACTGGAAAGGCTCAACATTTTGAAAAGTAATAAGACAGTACCTTTAGATTGAATTTGTCAAATCTTGAAAATATTTACTTCTAGCAAACTTGCAATTATGTTCTGTACGATTTTTTTCTACAGAGACCACGATTTTTTGTCTACCTATGTGTGCCTATTGTTACCAAAAATAAGCTATTGCTCAGACTATATGGACTGCGTTAAACAGAAAGGAACCAAGCCACATCAGCTATTGCCAAATTCAAGCGGGCAATTTAATAAAAAAACGGTTGTGCGGAAGCGGATTTTGCAAATTTCAGTGAATTTTCTCCATCATACAAAGCAAATTCCTTAAAATTTTCATAGGAATCTGCGCAGACGTTCTCTCGTAAAAAATGAAATCTCCCCGTTAAATTTGGCAATAGCTGATGTGGCTTGGTTCCTTTCTGTTTAACGCGGTCCATATTATCATCATCCTTTTAGTTTAAGTATAACCTCTGAAATGCTTAGATCAATGTGAAAATTTTTAATAATAAATCTGATAATATTTTTTGTTTTTTTTTTTCAAACATCAGGTAACGATAGTTGATCGTGATGAACGAGAGGAGCAAAATCTCATCACCCGGAGGAATACAGCCCTCATGGACCAACAGCCAGGCCAATCATCTAACGGTAATTCTTACTCATTGTTTAGTTATTAATAATAAATTTTCTGGATGATTCCCTCCTTTATTATGCACTTAATAATCTCCGTTTCTCAAAGCATTCCTGGTCACTCAGGGTCAGTAATCTTCAAAATTCATTTGAAGGAAATTTTAAAAACAGTCATCAAAATTAAATTATACTGGGTGTCCAAGTATTGTTGAGATTTTTATATGTATGCCCTACATTTTTAATCCTAGAAACAAATCAATGGCGAAACATCCAAACTGTGTATCTCAATTTGCGACGTTGCAGACTTCCTGTCATATTTTATATTTTAAATGGGAAAGCGATCAACAGCAGTTCTTAAAAACTGCTGTGCTCTTCCTCTCTGTGTAAAGAAATTTCTTTTTAAACTTGAAGGAAGGATTTTGAGTTTTTTGCTTTAAAAATTAAATAAGAGCTGAGATTTAAAAACACCAAAAATGAGGTATGTGATTTTTGCCAGTTGAATGTGCATGGACCTGAACTGATTGTTTTTAATCCAATACCTGTCTTATTTTGATATACTTTTTGATATCTATATTCTTTAGATTTCCCTGAAGAAGATAATGCAGACAGACTGATGCTTCATTCTGTGTGTGGTGCTCATGCAAGTGTCATCAGTAATAATCGCACAGCCTTGCGGCCCAAGTATGTTGCTGCCTCTAATTTTTCATTATAATTTGAATTTCATCATGAGTCAGTGGCCCCTACTTTTTTTACTATTTTCTAGAAGTACAGACGGAACTGAGCTCACTAGAAATTTTTCAGATTTTTTTAACCTTTAATGACAAAAAAAGGCCTGTGAAAATGCCAAAATGGGGACCTGCTTGAAATTATATTTTTATCAGGTGCTGGTGGCGTAGCTAGGTAGGGCAAACAGCTTTTGCTGATTGGCTAAACCCATATTCAGGCATCTGATATAGGCATATATTCGGCCATATTCCCATATTCAGGCATATTGATACATCTACTTGACTGTTGGATTTTGATTGGCTTTTCCTTCCTGTAAAAATTATTTTTAAACTTTTTAATGAACTTTTTACGTTTTGCACGAAATTTTGCACTTGAAAAACTACACCATGACCCTGCAAAAATTCCTCTCCACTGACCCATTATTGTAACATGAATATCACAACCAGCCTCTTACTCACGGCTATATTTCCTCCTGTTCTACGGATTCAATGAAAGCTCAGTAATATTCTCTTTTGTGAAAGTAACACGTTTAATTATTTTAATTTACATATATGTATTGCAAAATCTTTTTAGGTTGTAATAGGTTGTCTTAAAGGAAATCATTTAACTACATTGTATTCAAACTTTGAAATGTTTCTATTTTTACAGTGCATTAGAGGATTTCAACGATGCTGTTGTTCTCACTCATCGTCCTTTGAAACCAGATGAACTATTTGAAGTCCAACTCGACAAAATGGTCACGAAATGGGCTGGGACAATTGAAATAGGTGTCACCACTCATTCCCCTGAAGATTTAGAATACCCGTCCACTATGACAAATGTTAAGTAAGTAGTATGATGATTTAGCTCATTTTGTTATGAGATAACTGGATATTATGTCCAGGCTGATTTAAAATTAAATCATTAGATTTTCATCTCAGTATTTAGCTTTAAAGTTCAGAAAATGCTAGAGCATGGAAGTGCCCTCCAGCTTTTTTTTGTGAAAGCAGTCAAGGTTCTTTTTGTTTTCTTTTCTAGTTTTTCACTGCGTTTTGTGAAGGGCACACAGTCAGCGCATTTAGTTTTGGAGGAAATATTTAAAAACTTTTTTTTGTCTAAAACATTGTTTTTGTCGAACGAAAATTTTCAAGCGCATCTGCTTTGGTGAAAAAAACTGTCAAACGCAATAGTTTCTGTGAAAGAACAATGAAGCCTGATACCTCATGCACACTAACAAGGGGAGTCTACGAAGTGACATCCTGGGATTGGGTTCATTTTGCTTGTACATGAAGAAGAGACAAATCTAAGGTTGACGTATTTATTTTTAGTCGCCACCTCCCAACCGTTCTCGAGATATCGATTTTTAAAGTTACGATTTTTGCACGTTTCCGCGCGGAGTTCCGGCGAGTCAACTGAGCGCCGGCAACCTGCACGAAGCGTGTTTCCTATCAGCGCTGCAGACCGGTCGTCCATATCAACTGGTCCGTGGCCGAGTGGTAGAGTGTTCGCTTACCGTACTATCGGTCGCGGGTTCAAGTCCCGCTTCATACCGTAGCTTTTGGGGCACGCCGCGATGCATTTTTACAAGTTTTCTTTATTTTTATCACACACCAAGGGGTCCGCCCCCTGGCCGCTACGCAGCCCAACCCCCGGGGCGAAAAGGCCCGCTTCGCGGCAAGCGAAATCATCGAAATCGACCGTTGACGGCTGCAAATTCAGAGTAAGGAAAAAGTCATTAAGAATATTGTGTAGTGGGAAATTTTTTTTTGAAACATCATTTTATCATTCAATTAAAATTATTTACCCAGTAACCGTCAACGGTCGATTTCGATGATTTCGCTTGCCGCGAAGCGGGCCTTTTCGCCCCGGGGGTTGGGCCGCGTAGCGGCCAGGGGGCGGACCCCTTGGTGTGTGATAAAAATAAAGAAAACTTGTAAAAATGCATCGCGGCGTGCCCCAAAAGCTACGGTATGAAGCGGGACTTGAACCCGCGACCGATAGTACGGTAAGCGAACACTCTACCACTCGGCCACGGACCAGTTGATAAGGACGACCGGTCTGCAGCGCTGATAGGAAGCACGCTTCGTGCAGGTTGCCGGCGCTCAGTTGACTCGCCGGAACTCCGCGCGGAAACGTGCAAAAATCGTAACTTTAAAAATCGATATCTCGAGAACGGTTGGGAGGTGGCGGCTAAAAAAAAATATGTCAACCTTAGATTTGTCTCTTCTTCATGTACAAGCAAAATGAACCAAATCCCAGGATGTCACTTCGTAGACTCCCCTTGTAAGTCCTACAGTCTTTTTTTGTGGAAAAGATATTCAGCACATTCTTTGACCACCTTTAAATCAAAGGGAAAAAAGAGCATTTTGTGTAAAATCAAAGAACTATCGAGAAGGTGCGTTCAAATGATTCTTACTGGTAAGCTATTGGTTCCATCTTATACCGATATGCTAAGTGCTCTGATTTGCTCTGATTCTGTCGGAAACCGCTAGCCTTATTGGAGTTGTGAGAGCCCTCGTTCAATGCATTATCGTCTTGTGTGTCAACGGATAGGACAGCCCTACTTCCTGAACCTCTGATTCAGCCCCTTTAGTTTTTTAAACTTTTAATCATAAATTCAATGCCTAGGTCTGGAACATGGATGATGACTGGAAATGGAGTGATGAGAAATGGAGTAACTATAATCGATGATTATGGACCAAACCTAGATCAGTTACAGGTAATTTTAATATTTTATATGAAGCCTCCTACCGTATTGCATGATTTCATTTCAGCAAATCTCCAATCCATTGGATTGCATTTTGCAAAAAGGTACTCGAAGAATTGCGATGATGCCAAGATTGTGCATTTTCATCCTTTGCAATAAAATTACTGAAACCATGAAAAAATATGAAATTTACATTGTAATTTTGACTTAAATTAACAGTTTTTAGCGAGTAAAATAGAAACTGTTAATGGATAATCAGGTTTTTCTTCCAAGACAGAAGAAGTTGCACAATCTTAGTAACATTGCAGTGCTCCTGGTTCCTTTTTGCAAAATGCAATCCAATTCGAGTTTCTCCTGTTCGGAGTGCACAATGGCACATTTTTTTAAAATATTTATTTCGTCTTCTGTTTCTCTGTAAAAATTACATTTGCCGTCTATTTGAAGACGTTTTCAAGTGCTTATTTTGAAAGGGAAAGTGTGCAATGTATTCCACCCTGTAGATCTAGAGACAAAGATCAAAAGCCATCATTGAAAACTTCTTGCAGTAAGAGATCACCCTCCAGAAATACCGTTGTCTCTTTTTTTCAGGTGGGAGATAGAGTTGGAGTGATCGTTAAAGAGAATGGAGCGTTACATTTCTTTGTAAATGGTGTGGATCTTGGCGAGGCTGCAACTAACATTCCAGTAGGAAAAGTGTATGGTGTCATTGACCTCTATGGTCAGGCTGCGCAGGCAACTATCGTTGACTATAACCTTCTTTGTTGCTGCTCATCTCCAGCACAAAGCTCTCCAAATGTCTTCGGGGAACATGTGTAAGTTAAGCCATTTTCAAGCTGTGTTTTTTATCATTCAACTTATAATAGATTGAACCAGTGGATTTTTCTGCAACTAATCGATACCAAGAACAATGGTCAAAGTGGGAGATCTTGTATCTCCGTTTACAATGTTGCAGACTTCCTGTCATACTTTCCTGTTCTTTCTTTGGTCTTTGGAGAAGTAAACTACCTAATTTCTTGAAAACTTACTCGATTTTTCTTCTCCGTCGGCAGAATATTCTGTATAAATTTCAAGCTATTAAGTTAGGCTGCTCCTCTTTGAAAAATAAAATAGGAGGGAGAATTTTGAAACACTGCAATGGAGATGCATCGTTTCGCACTTTGGACAATGATAAGTATCAGCTTCGTAAAATCTTCATTACGTTTAATAAGTGTTCAAAGAATAACTGGACTGTTTTTTGCTACCCATATTTCTGACTCATTCATAAAAGCACTTATCTGCATAGAGAAACTAATGAGACCTACGCTCTTTCTCTAATAAGCCAAAAACACTAGTCCCCAATTACAAAAACAATGTTGCCAGGTTATTTGCTAAACCTTGGATATTTTAAATGATGATAAATGGGGAAAAGTGCGGAATTTTTAGCAATGGAAAATTTATCCCCCAAATGTCATAAGTGCCTCATGAGTGCTTTTGAAAAAAGTCGATTGAAAAAAGAAGGAAAGAAAAATTAAGACCTGTGTGAAAACGAAAAAATGACTCATCAGCTTTCTAAAATGGCAGATCACATCAGATTTCTTTGTAAATCAATCCATCTTTTTTGTGGTTTTTCAGCGATCTCCATTTTCACTATCTCCATGGAAAAAATGCCAGAGTCTCAAATGGTGGGCGCACTGCTTCAAGACCAAAAGCCCTACATGAATTCAATGAAGCTATCGTTATAAGCAACAGAACTTTGAAAGAAAATGAAATGTTTGCAGTAGTCATAGAAAAACTGGTAGACCGATGGTGTGGATCAATAGAAGCAGGTAATAACCTCAACATTTCCTTTCACAAATTGATACACAGTGCAATGTACGCATCAAAAGTGCCATGGCAAATATTCTGCCCTTCTTACCTTAGATTTTTGGGATAACCTCTCTAATTTTGCACATTTTTATGAAAAGGTAGAAGTTATGTGCTTGCTGATTGAAAATAAATACTTAAACTAGTAAGCTTTTGGCAATGTTCATGTGTTTTTCTCTAAAAAATTCAATCATTCAAAAGAAAAGTAATTTTCAATTTGTTGATTTCATCTAATCGACTGTGTTGTTTTATATATTCCATGTTTCTAACAAAATACCTACTGCACGCATATAACTCTTCGAACTACTCTAAAGAAGTTTTCAGAGTCCTAACATGAGTCTTGTCCATAATTTTTACATCGTTGTTACAACTCACCTCAATCTTGACTTTATTCTTTCAGGTGTTACAGCCATTAGACCAGACGAATTAGAGTTGCCTGGGACCATGACTGATCTAGACCATGATACATGGATGCTATCGGGTAAAGAAATTACATTTTTTAACTGTTGGTCTCAATGATTTACGAAGTATATCAATGACTGAAATAAAAAAATGCATTCCTTCATTAAATTTGTTAAAGGAAAACTAAACAATTGTTTTTGTAAAAATTACTAAGAATTTTTTCATGTTATTAATTAAAAAATCACATGTATGCAAGGAGACATTCTGATACGTTTTCATTACAAAAATTGAAAAATAATTAGAGATGTTTAAACGTTACGATTGAGGTGTGCGGTTTTTTGTTCGTTCAGTCATCATCTTGTATTTGCTAATGCCAGGCACTAACTGTCTTAATCCTCCTCACTGACTCAAATGACAAGGCAAAAATGCAACAGATGTACTATTCTTGAAACTTAGATGTTTCATTGTTTATTTTAAATTTCTGTAGCAATGCTTACAGTGAATTTCATCAAAAGAGCTTAATCACCAATGTACAAAAATTTTTTAATACATTAATTTAACTGCCTCCTTTAGGTTTACATAATATCAACACTATCAGCTGATTCCAATGACACGCTTTAGTATCAACATGTAAATTATTCAGCATTAATTTATAATAATATTAGTGCATAATGGTTAAAGATTCGTTTCTTGCTTCTTTACTTGGGTCAAAATATTCCTCACTCATTGGGAGTATTCTCTTACATAATTCAGCCTCGAAATGAACTTTGAATTTTGTCTTGAAACAAATGTGGATCTCTAAATTATGAAAAAATAGAATGAAACACCTGCTGTAATTCAGATTCGCTCAGAAGTTGTGTGCAAATTAATTGAAATGTTTTATTATCAAACCGGGTTTTGTAACCAGCTGAATTAAGGACAGTCAGTATTTAACTGAGTTTTTCTATAAATTTTATCCATTTTAGGTGCAACTGTGATGCAAGATGGCGTTATGTTCAGGCACAGTTACAAGCTTAATTTGGATTCGTTATCAGTAGGAGATGTGATCGGGATGATGCGCCATCCTGATACATCCTTGCACTTCTACCTGAATGGCATCGACCAAGGAGCAGCATGTTTTTCAGTTCCTCAGAATGTATATCCTGTCATTGATTTGTATGGACAATGTGCTCAGGTACCTTTTTGTTTTTGTGCTTCAATTTTGATTTTAAAAAAATTGCCCCATATATAAATAAATTAATTCCAGCTGTAGCAGTACTGAGAAATCTTATTATGTCAAACTGCAGTTGAGACGAAATCCAGTGTAAGTCGAAAATTTCTTTGGTCCCTTTACTCCGCAATAATTCGTGACTTTTGATATGCTTCAATAATTTTTTGAAAGTTAGAATTAAAATTTAAAAATTCACTAAAAAAAAAAATTTAAATTTATAAAAAATCAATTATAAGTTACTTGAAATAGCTCACCTTGAATTTTTAGTCCTCCTTCGTGCTATGGAGCAAAGCAGTTCAGACAGAAAGCCTCTTAAGTTTTTATTTTTATTTTATTTTGCAACTTTTTGTACATAGACACAGGCAGTTATCGTACACGTCACATTAACATAAATTTGATACTTAAATCTTATGTTAACAATATTACATCTAAGTTCGAATTTGTCTTGGTCCCTTGTGAATTTTACCAAGCGAGATTTCACTGTATTCATATCAGGTGGCATACTTTGACAAAATATTCAGTATCTAAATCTAGGGCGTATCAAAGATCAGTATTTGATTTCAGATACGCATGAAACCTGTTTTGGCCCAACTTTAAATTGTAATTTTATAATTAATCCTAAAATGAACACGAATGCATACTTCTGGTAACAACCCATCTGCTTTCCTGTCTTGCTAGTATTAACTCTGTAAATTTTTCTAGGTATCAATCGTGAGTTTACCTGAAGGTCGACAAGATGCTGACTGCAATGATGCCGACACATCATCACCATCTGTAGCCTCTCAGATTGGTGATACATTCACCCCTATCCTTAGAGAACCAGAAGTAAAAAAGAAGACCCACATTCCATCTCATTTAACTCACAGGTATCATCATGAATTACTGATTTATTGTCTTGGTGTAGGGAGGAGGAAATTCATCTCTTATTCTTAGGAAACTGTGACAATCTTTATGCAATCATGATGTAATAGATTATTGCAAAGTTTGTGCAGCCTCTTATGATGTTTTTATCTATTTCAGACTTTGTTTAGTGACTCATTGCATCATTCAAATTACCTATTGACTTTATTTCCTCTTCTCCTTTCTTTCTACTTGCATGTTCCTCCGGCAGTATCTATTTCATACCAAAATTCCGAGTCAAATGTCTTCAAAACTCCAAATAGAATCTACAAAAGCACTCTGGAACCATAATTCAGAGTGATACAAAGAGTAAAATTTCCTCAAATTTTATCTTAAGACAATTCCCTCCAAAGGGTCTCTTTTTTCCTATTATCCTTTTCCCTTAAAAGTATGAGCATAAAGGCAGTATTTTTTAGCTGCATCATCTTCAATGCCTTTTGTGCAATAAAATATAAAATAGACATTTATGCCAAATGCAAGTTTAAACCGAAAACCATCAGAAAATTCAATGTCATTAAGAGAATCAGAAAACTACTGGGAAGAGTGGTCATGGATTAGGGAATCTTGAGTGCATCAAGGATTTTTCAATTTTATGCATCTAGCTTAAGAATAAATTAAAAACTTTATCGAATATGTCGGTTGGTAAAACCAGATGAATGTCAATTTTTTTGTGCAAAAAATTAGGAAATTTCATCAAAGATTAGGAAAAAATCAGAAAAATACAAAATGAATTTTTAGTAGACACTATTAGATTGCCAAACATGTAATTCTTCTTTCCTGTCTGGAAAGTTGTTTGTTTTGAAAATGTATCATGACTTCTCACGAACATTGCATTTAATTCCAGGTTGAGTGCATTGTGCAGTCAGCACATACAGCTCGATGTTAATAATACCGTGGCAACGCGAATTAGCCTAGGTAATTATGGCCTCGTATTCTCCAGTTGTCCTGTCATGAAGGATCAGGTGTTCACAATTCAAATAGATCAGTGTGATACGGCACTAGCGGGCTCACTCGCAATCGGAATAACAACAATGCAGCCTGCGGAGAAAACAGCTCTACCCTCCACCATTCACCAGCTCAAACAGCCTGTATGGTTCTTGAAAGGTGAGCACTGCTTAAATCCTGTCAGTATATAGATAAAAATGAGATTTTAAATTGTAGAGGGTTGTAGCTGAAGTCTTTTACCCCTACTGAGAGTTTTTTCCTAACCCAGAGTAATTACTTAATGATTTGAATTAATTTGAAACCCAGCCCATTGTTTTTTATCTTAAATTTCATACAAATACTGGGAGATGAAGATTTTAGGTAATGCCAAAGTATTAACTATTAGATTTTTCAATTTATAAAAATTGCAACAAATAGTCCAACCTTTACTTGGATTGTTAAAGCCAGTGATCAAAACTCACCTTTGAGTTTCAGGAGCCATGTGGCGCATCAAGCTCGATTTTTAGGGGCCATTGAAGATTTTTTGGGGGCCAGATTGACTTCTTGCCTCACTGGAAAAAAAAACACATTGAATGTAGAGTCCAGACTCTTAAAAACATCGACAAGAAAAAGTACTCTTGATTCAATCAGAATCTAGCTTAAATCAAGAACCAAGCCTCTTAATTTAAGCGGATTTTGTTTTGATTCAAGCAAAAATCCGATCGAATCAAGAGTATTTTTTCTTGTCAATGTTTTCAAGAGTCTGGACTCTAGATCCAATGTGTTTTTTTTCCAGTGCTGTATATCAAGGCGCATTTAGTTAAAAGTTAGACGCAAGATGTTTTAGTTACAGTACTAGTAACTGTAACTTGGGGGAAATTTCGAAAAATCACCGAACAGAAAAATTAGGATTTTTTTTGGAGGGAAGGGGCAATTTTTAGGGGTCACGTTGGCGCAGAGCCTTCATTTTTTAGGCGCCATGACCGATTTCTTAGGCGCATTTGGCACGTTGGCGCCTGTGAGTTTCGAGCACTGGTTAGAGCCAAGAAAGAAACCAGTTCAGTAATAGGCCAATTCCCTGATTTCATTAAAATATGTTAACTGCTTCATTATGACTTGCTAAATGTGGAACATAGTGCATTCTAGTCAGAAAATACAATATTTTTAGTTTCTACTCATGATACTGTTCTTTTTAAAGTTAATTCATGCGAACGTTTGCCCCTAATTTTTCTGTTTTCACAGGAAGCGATATTTGGTATAACAACACGATTCTTCAGGAAAGGTATTGTCAAAGCCTGGATTGGGCAGAATCCGGTACTCTAGTCAGTTTAAAACTCTGTAGTAATCAAACTTTGCGATTTTATATCGACAACATTGACTGTGGTGTTGCGGTACAAAATATTCCAAAGGTAATTTTTCAACGTTGATTTTCATTAGTTTATCAATTTGTGAATGTAACATAACCTAGGAAATTATAGAAACCAAAAGTATTCTTCTGAGGCTTTGCTCATCTTATGTACCTGTCAGTGGCGTGGCGGGAATAATCGATTATCGATATCTTGCCATTTGAAGCTATGGTAAAGAATTGATTACTAAGGTGTTTGTTGGGAACACCCTGATAATCGATCTTTTTTCATATGTTTGAGTGGCGTATCAATCAATGTATCGCAAAGTACGCCACGCCACTGGTACCTGTAGGCTTATTTGAACGTGTCTGTGCTAATAGGAACCATATCACAGGCAAACCCTATGCATATTAATCCTTTTAGCTTAAATATGTCATTTTATTGTATGGCAGACTCATTTCTGTTCACATCAAAAATCCTCCAAATGTATTGCCAATTTTTCCTTTTTTAATTGTATTAAAACCTAATTTTAAAATTTGTGTGAGTTTCTTTCTATTTACACATTGTGTTAAAAAAAAAAGTTTAAATTGAGAGGTGCGATGTATGTGCAAAAATGGGAGGGCCCTGAAAACAGGTTTGAAAATTGAAAAGGCCATACAGCCTGACAGTATGAGCATTGCAAGATTTTTTTTTTGCAAAATTATAGCAATGTTCAAAATACAGTAGAAAAAAAGGAAAGAAAGGAAAAGCAAGGAAAAAGGAAAAAAATAAATTTTTATCATTCCATTTAATGTGGGGCTTGCTGTTGAAGATCCCAAAAGAAAATTACGTTGACCCTGTCCCCATTTTTTTTTTATTTATCCTTCTCTTCATTTACTTTTTCGCAGGCATTATTTTATGCTATCGTGGACTTAAGTGGAAGAACTCTCTCTGTCAGCGTGATTAGCCAGTCTACTGACGTATTTCTAATGCGGCTAGCTTCTAGTAAAGCACAAATGGCGGATAGCTTGAAGTCAGATGAAAGCTCCTCGTGTCAAAGTGGTCCTGTTGTAGAAGTAACCGTTGCTGATATTCCAACCAGGTTTGTGCTTACAGAAGCTTTTTTATTTTCTTTATCTTTAATTGCAATTCAAAGGTGGTTGAATTCTGGATGAATTTTCTGTTCCACAGTGGTAACTTGAAAAGTAATTTTATCAATTTGTTCCTGTAGAAATTAGGGTCATTAGGCAGCCAATAATCCCTGAATTGAGTGCGTCAAGAAGATTGGAGGATGGCTTTGACCCTTGTGACAAGAAGCTTCGCAAATGAGTTATGAAGAAGGCCCCTTCAAAAAGGCCTGAACCTCCAATTTTTGCTTAAATATTTAATAAAAAAAGTTTGTCGATTGATAGAAAACCATGCTTTAAGGTACGTCAATAAAGAAGAATGTCTAAAGAATTATGCTGTCCTAGAATTTTTGCCTCAATTCAAGTGGAAATATATCTAATCATCACCTTTTGTTTTATTCTCTGGTTTTCTTTTTCTCATTATTTTATTTTTCTCTTAATTATGTAACTAGGTGTTTTTGTTTTAAAGAAAGAATTATTGTGCTGATTTTTTTCTTGTTTATTTTCTTTCAGGGGAGGAACTGAAGAATGCTCCTTTGCCAATAAACTGGAAAGTGATATCAAAAAAATCTTCAGCGATGTAAGTTTTTCTCATCCCATCGTCAGAATTTTTTGTTTCATTTTACCCAGGATGACACAAAACACTCTAATATTTAGGTTTTTTCATTGTCTCTTTAAAAAACTAGGTGTCCAGTACCTGTAAAACTTATGTTGCAAAGATTAATGAGAGTATACATTTTGAAAATCATGTTTTATTGAAACTTAATAGGAGCTTCTGTCCATTTCTTGTATTGTTTTGGCTTTGAAAGGTTTTCTATCCTTTCTCAGAACTTTAGGTTCTCTTTAAGATGAAACTTCCTCCCCAGCATTCATGTTTCTTAAAAAATATTGTGTTTTTTATGTTATGTACTCTGTTATCAAGTTTTAGCATTTAATGAAAATAAAGGACAAGGGACAGTGATGTCCTTGGCTATGAATTTATCTCACATTCTATTCCTGTTCTCGTTTCATCTTACATCTATAGCTCTAAATTTTGCAATTTTTTGCTACTTGTTGCAAGGTTGGAAGGTTGGTATACGTACAAGTACATTATGCCTTAATGTATATCGAGTCCTTTGATCCATAAGTGGTAGATTTTTCACTGATCCATAATTATCTCTTTCAGGACTGCTGGTTTTCTTTCAAGGAAATTACGGGTCAAAATATAGTATTGATCAATGATGGCATCACAATAAAGCGTGAAACCAGTTACAATAATGGTGTTGTAGTGTGCAGCAAACCCCTGCCGCGATGCACTTTATTCCAGGTACAAGACCAAGTTTCCTGATTCGAATGGATAGAAATTGAAGAGTCATGATAGTTAAACATTTTGGAAGTACATATGTACTGGACTGAGTTTGATAAAATAATTTTGAAAATACTTTAGTAGGAACTACTTTTAAAAATTTTCCTCACTAACCTGACAAGTGAGTAAAATTTTTGATCGTAGTTTTTGAAGAGCATTTTTAAAAGTATTAGAAAGTCACCTCACTGAGCTAAAGCAAAATATTTTTTATTCTTGAACTGCTCTTGAAATCCTCAATATCTTGGCATCATGAACATCTTTCTCCCTCTTATGTTTTAGACAGAGCTATATTTTTTGAAACAAACTGTTCAAATAGTTCCATACATCTTTAAAAATATGTAAATTCGCATGAACCCCTCATAGAAAAGGAAGTAAACTCACTAGTCAATGAAAAAATAAAAAGCATTGCCATTTTATGTTGAAATCATTCTAAGCTGAACCCCATAATCAATATAGCATGTAGCATGGTTTTTTTTCACCTTGGAATTTTTCTCTTTCATGTAGATGGTCCTCGAGTCCCTGAATCCTCGATGGGTCTCCTCCATCATGCTAGGTGTCGTTAATGAGTCACAGTTTCCAGTACCACCTACAGCTTTAGGTTTCAAGAAAAATGCTTGGATTATTAGTGCTGATTCTGTTTTCCAAGATGGAGAAAAAGTAAGTTCGTCTTTTTAAAAATTATGACTGCATCCCAGTCCAAAAAACTGGTGTGATGCTTGCAGAACCCCTCAATGCCAGTCAATACAACTGGGATGGCAGACTATCTTCCAATATTTCCTCTTAAAATTTTGTTGAGATTTTAGTTTGTTTGCAAGGAGTGAAACACAGGTATTTCAGGTGGAATCGTTCAGTTTTCACATCAGGAATAATAAATAATATCCACAAATTTTGAAAGCCTGATTTTATAATCTGCTTATGTAAATTATTTAAGACCATTATGCAGTGATCTAATCAAGAATTTTTTAGAGGAGCATAAATCTCCTGGATACCAGGGTGCAGTCAATTCTTTTGACAGTATAAAAATATAGAAATTCATAAAAAATCTGAAGAGGCCCTGCTTTTTTCTCCTTTTTTGTATCTTCTTTTTAGCTAACTTCTAATTCTATTTCAGATCAAGTCAAACTATGGACCCAATCTGGACAAACTTTCGGTAAAGCAGACGGTTGGAGTGATGGTAGATGCTGAATCTCAGTTAAGGTTATTTGTTAATGGTGTTGATCAGGGAGTCGCTGCCTCAAACATCCCTTACAAGTGCCATGTTGTTATTGATCTCTATGGACAGTGTGATCAGGTGAGGCTGCAATTCTTTAAATTAAATCTATTGGGCTGGCACTCTGTAGCCGAGAGTGCCAAAGTAGCTCCTTGCTACCTCAGCTTATGAGCCCACAAATTTCTTGCTGGAAGACTTTCAAAATTATTTCCCCACTGTTCCTCAACAACACCTAATCAGTTCAGTAATTCAGTCATTTCCTAGTCTAAATGACCAAAAAACATTACACAATATCTAAGTTAAGCACTTTTACAACCTTTTAGCTCATAAATCTCTAAATTAAAGGGCGGCTCTTTTGCTCTTCTTTCCAGATCTCAATCATCAACTCACCATTACACTTCAGTCAAATGAATGCCCCAGTTGAAACCAAAATTGAGGAGCCCGAAAGTGTACCAGAAGAACTGAAACCTGTCGATGTTTGTGAAAAGGCTGACCTCGAAAGCCATGAGAAGGAGCAGTGCGACGAAAATTCTGATCAAGAGCTGTGTTGCGATGATCCAGCGCTTTCTAAAAGTGTCAAAACAAACGAGAATTGTCTTGTCGCCTCTGCCTCCTCTTTGACACTAAAAACTGAAAATTCTGATGATGAACTTGATCCTAAATCAATCGCATCAAATGAAAACCTGTCTTTGCAGCATCTTGAGCAGGTACAAAACGCAACACTATCGTGGCTATCAGCATCCCATTGTGATAAGAAAACGAGTCTCAATATCGCCAACACTTCTTTCGCTGAAGCAGGGAAATCTAGTGGAAAATCAACGGCAACAACTCCTGTTACATGCGGAAAGAGCGTGAATGTCACACGCTCATTTGATGACGGCTCTCCTGTGATGTCACCTGCAGCTGAAACTCCTCTCAAACCTCTCTCCAACTGTGATTACCTAAAGTTGTGTTTGCGGTTGAAAGCAACCCTTTGCTTACCAAGTTTCTACTTTCAAAGCGACACAGCAGCCGTTTGTTTTTGTTCTGATTGTTCACCAAGCTACAATTCACTGAAAGAGGAGCCACCACCTGGAACCGTTCCTTCTAATTGGTGCAAATTACCGCTTCACAAACTCACCTCACCATCAACTGTAGAAAAATTAAGCTGTGATAAGTGGCACATAGCCTATGCAAGCGCTTCATTAGGACAAATTCGCCAAGTCTTAGAGCAAGGAGAGCTCTTTGATCCTTGTGAGTATTTTTTTCTAACCAAACTATTCACACCTAAATCTGAATTTATTTTGAAACCACCCATAAGATAGAAGTTAGTCGAATTTTTTCTCTTCTGATACAATTCAAATTTTACTCTCATGTCTCCAAATCTTGTTCAAATATAGTTTGGGGGTCTACCTTTATTCCCTCTATGTCTGTTTTACCTGGTAAGTGGGATGCAAGACAAACAGGCTTTCCAGTAAAGATCTGAAGATTTATCCATTGACATAACTTTTTGCGCATTTTCACTTAGCTTAGTTTTGCCCCAAAAAGTTTTTACGATCTCTTTTTTTCGAAGCAATGTTGCCACGTGTGCAGTTGTTATGGGCGGCTCTCCTCAGGAATCGCGCTGTCATGCGATTTGCTAGGAGTAGTTCAGCTCCATTGAGCCATTTTCAAAGACTCCAATCCAAGAACCTTATGAAAGCACCACCTTATGTATATTTGCGTTGTTTATTTCAGTGACCCTTTAATAGGATTTTTTTATCCTTTCAGGTGAAAATTTAGGCAGTTGTGATACTCATAGTGAATTTAAATGGAAGCAAAACGAATGTGATGCCTCTCAGATAATCTTATCGCCAACTTTAAAACATGTTGCGTCCCCTCTCATCAGTAAAAAGCATGAGTAAGTATGCAATTTGAAATATTACTTTCTTCATGCATTGTTGCGCTCTACTTTTGGGCAAATGAAACAATATGAAACAACATTAAGCAAGAAATAAAGACTACCAAAAATGTGGCCTAAATACTGTAAGCACCAGGGTAAAATAACAGTGCGGGATTGACACTATTCTGCAAGGAAACCGGAAAAAAAAAAATTATCCCAAGACCACCAGAAAAGAGCTCAGGGTATTATTGTAATTTGAATTTATTTTTTCTTATTGTTTCTAATTTTTTCCTTCAAAAGTTTCTATTATTTATAGTTAAATGATAATTTGATTTTTTTTGAAGATTTGCTGATACAAACTCACGCTTGAATTTAAAAGTTTAAATTTCCTCTAAAAGTATGATCATATAAGTAAGACCTTGATTTGTCTGTTTCCAGATTCTGTGACCCGAAGACGAAAAAACTGTACCTAGCCCACGCTGCATTCCAAGTCCTTGTAAAACCAGGCTCATACAAGACCAATCCTTTGCCTGACACAGGGCTAAGCAAATCAATAGACTCGCTTTCGGATACTGACAGTGTCCAATGGCAGACCAAAGAACAAGGTGCTACATTGCTCACAGCATTATTGCTGAAGTTGGATCCTATTTAATTTAATTTTCTCTGAAAAAACTTAGAGTTCCTCTTCTTTTCTAAGGTTGTTAATAGCATTGTGGGGGACTAAGTGATAATCAGTTTAATTTAAAGTCAGTGCTGCTTGCCAACGGTAAAAAAGATGTGGAAAAAATGCCTCAACGAGCTATAGTGGAGGAAAAAGAGGAAGTGCTTGTAAGTCAAGGATTCGTACCAGCCGACTCCATTCGGTACACATAATAATCAACTAAGATGTTGCATCCAGTCTCTTTTATCAATGTTTCTCGAAAAGAAATTTTCGGGCTGAAAACGCGATTATCTGGCAATGGAGACTTTGCAGGTGTTGGAAATTTTGGGAATTTCATGTTTAAGATCAAACCACTGAGTGAACTGAGCAGTAGAATATCCTTGGTTTCTAAAATTAATTATTATTATAGCAGATATGACCAGATGACCTAATTTGTTAAAATACATTTGTTTAAATGGAAAACACAGTGTGATGACATTACAAGGCAGCATATTTTCTCTTTTAAGATCTATTTTTCTAAAATCTTCCATATCAGTAAAAAATTATGACGAATACTGCTTACGCAGCTCATTGAGCTCTCTCTGATGCAGCAATAAAACATCTTTGCGCAAATTCTCCATTGCATGGATACCCTCAGAAATCATATCAGGCTGGAGCCAGATATTCAGCCCAACTCTGGTTCCTAGTTGTAGAATAAATTTTAAGCTTTTTGTGAATCGTACATTAGTTTCCAAGGTATTTACGATTAAAGCTGTACCCGGTGACTTCACATGACTACGAAAGCTAACTTGCACTCACCTTTTGTCGTTGCTCTATGTTCATGACCTTCTCTATAAATGATTGTTTCGAATCGCACACATTTTTTCAAGAACGTACAGGCATGCCTCCCTTACATTTACCAACTTTTTATCGGTTACTATTACTGTTGGTTTCATGGCTTTATTCTCAGTTATTAAAAGAATCCACAGACTTATTTGTTAATTTTAAAGGATTCTAATGGGTCCCCAAAACCTCAGGATCAACACAAGGCGCTTGCAACAACCATTTGCATCCACAAAAGGGATCTAGGAATCGGAGTAGGCCGGAGAATAAGGTGTCCAGAAATATGAATTGAGGAAATAACTAAAAAGAGGGTGAAAAGAAACAATAGGATAGATGTAAAAGGATGAACTCAGGGGGAAAAATCAAAGATGCCTTGTTCAAGAGCAAGACTCACTCAGAACAAGCGTGTATTCAAGACTGCAACTCAAGACTTGAGCTCTATTTGTCAATCACTTATATTATTACATAAAATATTTTGCCGGTGTTGATCAACTCTTTTATATAATTAACAGAAAATAATAGACATTCACGGTTAATTTGATGATTTGACTCATTTGAAATTCAGTAAAAATACAATTATCTGGCCATTGGTGGCGGGTATATGCACTAAATATTGGAAACCGTGGCTAATTTAAGAGGCACAAATTAGTGTACAAAAGATGAACGAAAACATGAAAATTTTGCGATACTATCATAGAAAATGCAACAATGTATGTGCTTTGTTCCGTAACTGCATTTTATTCTTAATTGATGATTCTACTTGAGCACAGTCATGCCAAGCTGAAACTGGATAAAATCCTCTATGTCCATTGTTTAATTCATGTGGGAAACAAAGCCAATATTCAGAGTTCCTTTCACTACTTCACTGTATGACAGGAAACCTCATGATTCTTGAATTTTTAAGTGTATATTTGTTCTGATAGATCTGATGACGGATACTGATTATAAAACTGCCCTACAGCAAACTTACACTTTCTTTCCATTTTCATTTAATTCTAAGATTTCATACATGAATCATCCTCTGAGAGTAAAATTCTCCCTAAAAGCACACCTCCTGTTATTCCCTCCTGGCCCATTTTGCTTTTGTATTTTTGTTAACGCAAACATGACACAGCTCGATTTTTCTTTTTTTCTATGTTACCATTACTTTTAAGCTTGTTCCGTCTTGTCATGGGAAAACTTTTAGAAGCACAATTTTTTGTGAGGAGGGGAGGGGGGAGGATGAGGAGGAGAGCATTTTATCTGCTACTTTTGCTCCTCAGATCTGTGTTCTCATACGTAATTTATTGAAAGCTTTTTGCCTCAATGCCTCTAGTAAGCATGCAAGCAAGGGTTGAGAAAGAGATTTCTTTTTGTATGGCAGGAATCATATTCCTGAATTTATTATATCACTTTTTTAAAGCAAAAAGTGGAGAGTACTTTTGTTATTTTTTTTTTTTTTTTTATTATTATTTTTAATTAACGCAAGTCAGAAAGATGAATGGCTCCAACATGGTATTTTAAAATTTAAATGTTCCTGTGCACGTAGAAAATCTTTTTTCGTTGTATCAAATTTTAATAACTTTCATCGAACATCAGCACAATCTTGGAGAATCGTTTAAAGTTTTTACTTCTCAAAGTGTTGTATACTAAAAATAAGCTCTGTTCTTATAAGCTTAGGCTCTTTCGTTTTAATTTTTATGTTTCGAGAATGCTCATTTGTTTGTTTATGATTTTAGTTTGTAAGTCGTCAGAATGAATGTTATCAATCCAGGAAGACTTGAAAAGTCCTTCCATGTGATAATTTTTTATAAATATAATGCCCTTCGCTAAACTGCAATTTATTTCTTTCCACCAAAAATATATTCAACATGGGAAGGACGAAGAAATTATGAAATTGTTGTCATTAAAAAATGATATTTAATAAAACAACTCTTAAATCTTACAATAAATAACAAAATGAACAATTTAAGTAAAATAAATAAGTTTGCAAGAAAATAACTTAATTACTTACACTTGTAATATTTATGGAAGTTGCTTATCAGCAAAAGGAGGGAAGAACTGTTTTGTTGCAAATAGCAGACCAACCTGATAAAATCCAAAAGTCACTTGATAGAGGGTACCGTATATGATAAACGCGGCCTGGAGTAAAACTTTCATAAAAACAGACCAAGGAAGGCAGTTGTTGTTTATGCAACTTTACCCTCCATCCGCCAGTTTTCTTGGCGTCAAGTTATAACAATGATGGTGATTTGACGTCATGATAACGCCAAGTATTGCATCTTTTATAATTTTAATTGAACATTTCGCATACCAGTAAGATTATTCAATCCACCAATTCAACATTCAAATACACAGAGAAAAAAATCTGCAAACATTTTAGGTCACCTCTATCATGATAGATTTGTGCTTGTGCAAATATTTTGAACCTGGAGGTCCATTCCACAATTTACTTGCAAACAAAATGATTTCCGAAGTAGATAGTTTAAAGTAAGTACACAAGAAATGTTTAAAGGGGAGAAAAATACATCCTACATTGATTCTTTTACATGCGTTAACATTTAAACAGAAGAAAAGGAACACTAAAGAGTTTGAATCTGGGTGTTGTTTATTCAAGTGTTAAAAATGTAGTTCCTGATGTAGGGCTAGTTCTGGATGAATAAAAAAAGATATCATATTGCAGAGAAAATACTTGCTAAATATTTTAAATACGTGCTGACGAAAAACACATAATATAAGATCTTCGAGTACAGTTCCTTCAAACATCGGTGACAAGATCAGAATATGAAAGGTATCAAATTAAATACACTCTATCTACAATTGGTTAGGAAGGAAGAGTAAGAACAGGGGGGGAAAAAGCCATTAAACTTGGCTGGTTTCAAACAATACACTTTCATAGAAAAATATCTGTACACTTTTTAAAATAATGCTAAAAAAGGAATAAAGTTACATAAGGAAATGTATCAACATAATCTACATAAAAGACACAAGTATTAAAAATCTGACTAAAATGCTCATCTTACTACAGACGAGTACATGAGGTTTTCACGTGTTTTGAACAATTACAGTTCATTCACAAACATTAAGTTAAAAATATCAAGTACCTGTTGACATACCAGACCCTTGAGTGAAAAATATACAATATTTTTCACTGACTTCAAGTAACCATAAAAGCAGGAAAACAAAACAAAACCTACAAACTAAAAACCTGATTCCAGCCATACAAAGATTGTTCTAAATTTAACCTAAACTACGAAGTCTTTTTGCACATTTCATCACAATGCAGGCACAACACCTTTTTAAAAGGGTTAACTTAGCGCTAAAATATAAGTGATAAAAGAGGGCATGATAATGAATGAGGAGGAAGAAAGTGAATTCAGTCGGAAATTTTTTTGCCTCTCTGGTTGTTGTACGTACCCGAGAGATAATCAAATTGAAGAGAACAATATTTTTTTCATCTATTCATAAGAATCTTTGGGTACATGCCAAAAGGGGGAAAAATTACTACAATCATCATAAAAGTCCCCACTGATAGCACATTCTCAGAAGCACAAAATATTGTTCTGTTACATGAAATCGACAGATAATAGAAGAAACAGTTTACATGGGTAATCTCAATGATATGAAAACTACACAATAGATATTTTTAAGAATACCTAACTTACTTAAATAAAAATGCAAATCGTGATTAATTAAACTTCGTTAATTAAATATATATTGCATTTCAATCCTCAGCACTCAGCTAACTAAGGATACGAGTACAATGGTACCTTTTTTTTCTACATGAAACATATATTCAAAAAGGATATAGACAGATGGCTTTGCAGGACTTTCATAGAGGATTGCCAAGAAGAAGATGAGGAAGTAAGTTGAGAAAGTTGACACTTGAGAGGGAGGAAAATATTCAAGTTAAGCAAAAACAAGAGCAACCGACTAAATCTGATTACTAGTGCTCATACAGGCTGGATTAAAGATCATTGGTGACAAAAAGAATGACTGGTGTCCTTGAAAAATCTACGATCCGTTCTTTGAGCAAGCCAAACTCTATTCCTCAGGGCTTCAAAAATGAGTACAATCAAACAAACTGAAATGAAACTTAAGGGTAAAGTAGGATCAACTTGCTCAACTATACTTGGTTAAGATGGACACACTCAATTTCACGTTGGAGACCTTAGAGAAGCAATCTTCGTTGGTATTTTTTTGGCACTAGCAGTTTTCGGAGACAAAACAGGGATACCAGAAACAGGCGTCACTGGTTTATCTTTCGTAAAAGTACCCTGTCTTTGTAATGGTTGTAACAGTTTCGTCGGTCGGACCGCATTAGTTGTGGTTATTTCCTTTTTCACCTGACTTTTTACGATCTTACTCGCTGGCTCTGGGGGCTGAATTTTCTGAGTCCTACTTCCAGCGTCTACAGGTGGGGTTTTCGGAGAAACCCTACTTCCAGTTGAGGGTGGTTTACTTGGTGACTCGGTGGTCTGTATTTTGGGGGTGGTTTTATTCTTGAAAGTGGGGATACCACTTTTTTTATTGTTTTTGGTCTCTGTGCTCTTATTTGTCTCTGCGCTCTTAATTGCCTCTGTTTTAACCGGTTTTGCAATTGACGGTTTTGGCACATTGACAACTTGTTCCTCCTCAGATTCATAATCTGAGATGTTAGTCACTGTATCAGGATCTAAGATATCATTATCAATGGGTATTAAAGTGTCACTCCCAAGACTGTTGTCTCGACTGAGAGTCCTCGTTAAGTACCTGTCTTTATTTGCGGACCGCTTTTGTTTTGGGGATAGTTTACTATCCAAGTTTGCTATAACATGAGGGGTTTCATTCTTATTGTCTATAAAGTCCCCATCGCCGATAGTGCGTGTCAAAAACCTGTCTTTCTCTGTTTGCCGTCTTTGTTTTGGGGTGATCTTCTTTGCCGCTTCATTTTGCGATTCTTTGACGCCTGGCTCAACGGAACCTTCTCTGCTCTTGTCTGGCTGGATTGTGTAAGTGTTGTACCTGAAAACATTAAGAGAGAAACAGATGAAACAATGGCTAGAATATACTCTTTAATAGAGGAAGTCTGTACTTTTTCAATAGCATAAAGATTGCTGAGCCCCAAAACCAGGCATTCCCATTGTGACATTTTAAAATTTCTGAGCATTAATTTTAATTTAGCAGAAAAACAATCTTAAGGCTTGAAATTGTCTTTCTTCTTTAGAACTCTATGATCAGTCTGTAAAAATTTCAAGTCACAATGCTTGCTTAAATTCCTCTTCCAAAGTAAAGCAGAAACAGAAAACAGGAATGGAAAAAGCTTTAACTGAGATGGTGATTTTAGCTGTTGCACATTGGTAATATAAATTTAGGGTGACAAGGAGGAAACAAACCTAAATATATACCAATTTGGGATGAATCATGATAATTTCATAAAAATTACCATTTTTTAAGTTTGCACTTAAGTAGTTCTTAGTCACATGTGTTTCAGGTAAGTATATCCCATCTTCACTGAATAAATGCTACATTCGCAAAGTTCCATATAGATTGTGAAACTGCAGAAATGTGTACTATCAGTTTAAAGCGTTGCAAACCTCCCTGCCATACTTTATGTTCTACATAGAAAACTACTGTAAGTCATTTCGTGAAAACTTTGGTGATTTTTCTCCTCTATCTAAAGGATATTCTGTGAAAATTTCACACCACGATAATGATCAGGTCTTTTTACAAAATAAAACAGTAGCAGAGACTACTGCATCAGTAATCACCGCATCCGAGATACACATTTGTGCCGTTTCACCATCGATACTAATAGCCCTAAAAAGTGCCAATTAGACCAAAGCACTGAATACTGATTATAGAATAGGCTAGTCTTGCTCAACTTTCTGGATTGAAAACAACTCGAGTTCCATCTTGCTTCCCCATTCTGTACTTCTTTTGAATGAGAATACTTATTGAAAACATTAACACAACAAATCTTACAAGTACCCTCAGACTTTCTCCTGCAAGAAACTTAATTGGTATATTTACGAATTTCATACGAAACTTTGAGTAGGCCATAATTTTTAATTCAGTGCAGTAATCTACGACCGTTCTTCATGGAAAGTCTTTCAATTAATCTGAAAGTGTATCGCTGACTTTGGCCAATGGCTTGTTCAGTTATATTGCCTACTGGAAGTGCTCCCTCTTTGGAGAATAAAAAGAAAAGCAACAGAAAAAGAAAAAAAAAATATGCAAAAGGAACAGCAAAATGGGGAAATTAATTTTTGTGGAGGGAATGTATAAATTACCTGTCTCTCTCTCCACTCCTCTTTTGTTTTGGTGTGATGCCACCGCTGGTTGATGAGTCAGTCATATCATTGCAAGTCATAAAAGTATCCGTAACAGTAAGATCTTCTGTTAGAGAAAGTGGAGGCGAATCGACAACCTCGGACACAATACTCGCAACACTAACAATAGAATTTTCCAGATCTACTAAATTTGCCTCCTCCAGGAATGATGGCGGTTTGGTTGATTCAATGTTGCAACTAACAGAGTCTCCCAATGCTCGACGGAAAAGTAGGCTACGCATTTTATTACTCTTTCCTAGACTTCCATTTTCTGTGATGCTGGACGTCATCGAGAAAGAGCTACTCATTATCGATGGAGGCTTAACAGACTCAAGATCTATAGACGACATGCTATGCTCCATGTCCAGAGATGAGATGATAGTTATCTTTCCAGCCTCTAGTTCGATAACATGGGAATCAGAGAGAATCTCTTCATTGTACTCGCGGTTTTCAATGAAAGGAGTGATGGTAGCGATTGGCTGTTTATTTTCTTGCTCTTCTGTGGTATTAATTGTTGGCTCTGTTACATTTATCACTTCTTTTCCCTCCATGCTTTTGTTGATTAGAGGCGAGTTAAAGCTGGGCAATGAGGTGGAGTCTTCGTTCCATGTGCCACAAGATTCTTTCATGGAAAATTCGGTAGGTTTTGTAATCGCTGAGTCATCATTCCAAGTGTCACAAGAGTCTTTCATCTGACATTCGGAAAGTTTCTTTGTGATGACCGTGATTTCATCTTTATCTGGAAACAATCAAAGGATGATATTAGAAGAAAATTTGGAATAAATAAATGGTAAACCAAGGAATGTCACTTTAATAAACTCGCATTCTTACTTCTTAAAAATGCCTTTTCTACTAATCCTGCTCAATGCCTATCGTTTAACGGCTCTAATTTCCACAAAAACGACACGTTTAGAGCCTAGCATCACTTTCCTGCAAGAAAGACAAGTTCATAATTCACGTGGGCTTCATAAAGTCTTTTGTACCAGAAAAATAAAAAGGCTTAAATCTTGTAGACAAAGCTCAACTTTTTCTATTTTCGGCTCTAAATATCATATTCCATTGTTACCATCAATAATTAAACATTTTTGGTGGTTAACCACACAGAATTAACTTAGGTCCAGAGAGTGCTAGTAGAGAGAACTTAAATCTGCATTTAGAAAATTGAGGGCAGTTTCTATGGAATATCGCAAAAACAAAGAATTAGACAGTCGAAAAATACAAGGCAGACTTTAGTTAGGGGTCACTTGCTGAATTTAGTAACTGAGCAGTTTATTTTTTCAATAAGGAGCATATTGATGGTGAAACTGCAGAAATGTTTATCTTAATTTGCGGCATTGAAGACTTCTTGTCGTACACCTTTCCCTGCATGGAAAACAATCAAAAGTAATTTTTTGAAAACTTCAGTAACTTTTTCTTCTATATTTGAAGAATATTCTATGAAAATTTCAAGCAATTATAATGGTTTGGTCTCTTTTCAAAAAATAAATCAGGAGCAGAGATTTTAGAACACCGGAACAGAGATGCCCATTTTTGCAATTTCACTGTTTATATAGAGACTTAATTCCATGATGAAGAATCAGGTTGATACCGGTTCATAAGGAACTCTTCCTGAATAAATAATCATAAAAAATTATTTATGCCTTACCAGTGTGTTCTAAGGACTGCATTGGAGGCGACTCATTGTTAGGTACAGGTGATGAAACAGGACGCGGCTGCTCATTTTTGGAATTAACCGTCAAATCACTTAATGAAGACCAAGCTGAGAAGTTACATGGACTTCCCTCCGTGGCGAAGCATTCAATTTCATCTTGTGCTGCAACTTCTCGAAGTTCCCGTGGATGGACTATTGCTCGAGGCAATGGTAAGGCACGGGGAGAATTGAAGGAGTTGCTTGTTTGTCTATTGGAGGGTGAAAGCTCTGGTATCTTCCTTTCGTTGAACATAGTTTTGTGTTTTGGTGAGGTATATTTTGATTCTGGTGATGGCTCAACACGCCTCTGAGACTGGAAAAAAGAAACAAGGTTTTAAAATGTGCATTTCTTTGCTCAAACAGATATAATTTAAAGCTATGGGATATTAAGAGGCATGTGAAATAAAAGCTTGACTAGAAAAAACCATACCTACTTAACATTCCTGATGATGAAAACCAGGATGTAAATTAGATTATGAAGAACGCATAGTTACAAATTCATCCTTTGATCAAAAATACTGGACTTTACTAAAGTAAAGAGCTTGATGATGGATCAGTAGCCATTTTTAACGATCACATCTCTGATATGTGCTATGTTGCCTGAAGAACATACCTTCCAGATTTGAGAAAAATCTGTAGTAGTATTACTTAAAAACTGAGTTTTATGGTATGGAAGATATTCACTCCTCTTCAGGCAAAGACTCAGGAAAACCTTCTTGACATTCCTTTTCCACGGAGAACTTCAGTTCAGTATTTTAAATTAATTAACAGGTTAGTTAAAAAGTGAGAAACTATCAAAGATCAACAGAAAATGGATGGATAAAACTTACTTGTGGCATGCCTGATTGAATACACTCGGCTAGAATATTTTCATAATCAGAACCATCATCTGAGGAGGCGCAGAGCATGGACAAATCAGAATGTGAGGCTGCATGACTGATGTTCGCTGGAGTATCCTCCGTGCAAAACGTTCTGACTGAGTCATCTTCACAGTCTGCCATTGCTGGCATACTCACGGGCTTCTTCAAGCCAGTTCTGATGGGTACGTTACTTAATTTCGCTGCTACTCGTTGGCATGGTTTGACAAGGACAATTTTGGATCCAGAGTTGTGAATTCTGAAAAAAATTTCTGCTATTGGGATATACATGGCACATTTGCAAATGCAGCTTTTTAAAAAAAGCGGTCGGTTACTTTCAAAAGCAAATTCAGCATACATGGGTGCCATCCTTTTGTATTGTCAAAATTTGTTGATGATTATTATTATTTATTTTTACATGATGCACCAACATTTTGTGATAAAGACTTTGAAATTTTTGTACTTTCTCTTTCTCTAAGTGATGGTACCAAGAGTTCAAATTTTAATGTCACGAAAGTACATGAGGCTCTCATTTAAAGACATGAGGCTACCTTAAATATGACTAAGAAAACCTTAACATTTCCCAGGTACCAAAACTCAAGAAATTTGGTCCATGGCTTTTCTGCGCCAAAGCTGCAGATAAAAAATTTTGCAACTGAGTTCAGTTTAATGGTTTTTCATTTTTTATTGAGTTTTTTTTAAATAAAATATAAAAAAATAGATTAAGCAAATTAAAAAATGTTTTAGAAAATCTTCCCAGTTTTTGATGTCATCCTGCAACCCTGCAAAATTCTAATCACAAATACTTTATTCTAGCTGAAAACAGGAATACGAAAACAAAATGGGAACTTAATCATCGAACTTACTGATTGCTGCTGGAACTGCGACTAGGCATGCCACTCTTGATGCATGCTTGCAGAGCCTCCTCATCTTCTTCCTCACTCACTGGAGTAAGATCCTTCTCGGCTGAGATGTTAGAGGGCATGTTTAGACCTTTTTCGTTCTTGATTTCATCTTCGAACGTCAATGAACTTAGGCTTGTGGCTGATGAAAACTGGACGGGCGTGTTTTCATCTTTGAATGTAGCAACGGTGTCCTCAAAGACACTGCGTTGTATGGGCTGAATATCACTAGTATTCAAAGACGCAGCTGACTTCAGACTTTGTGGACTTGGTGGGATCTGGGCTGGGGAATTTGATTTTGCTCTTCGTAAGTGATCAGACAAATGGCTGCGGATAAACAGATTTACCAAAGATTAGATTTATGAATTAGGTATAGACATGTGCAGGCTAACAGGATTAATCTGTTCCAGTTTGCTCGTCTTTGACCGTCAAATTGAGTTGTGAGCAGTGTTTGAATGATCCTGTGGTATTCACAGGCCGTTTGGGCCAGCTTGATCAATTTTAGGGGCCATTAGGGTTTTTTCAGGGACCAAAATTTTTATATTTTAAAGAAAATTCATTACTTAAAGTTATTTTTATAGCTGACTTTATGCGAATCATTCTCTTATAGAGATATTTACGAGATTTTAAATATTTCATTAATTTTTTGCTCTCTTGCGGCCTAAAGCGTTGATGATGGTATTAATAGATTGGTGATAATTGATTTTTCTACCAGCTGTTGACTAGGCTTTGTATCATGCTCAAATTCAGAAAAAAAAACCCCAAAAAAAATAAAAAGAAAGCAGAAAAATACTTACTGATTGCTATTACTATTAGGCATGCCACTCCTGATACAGGCTTTTAGCAAGTCTTCATCATCCTCTTCCTCACTCACTGGGGCCAGTTCTTTCTCATTGCCGCTAGGTACGGCATAATTTATTAGTTTATCACCTTTGATATCATCATCAAAAGTCAACGATGACAAACTTGTAGCAGTGGAAAACTGGATAGGAGTATTCTCGTCTTTGAAAGACGCCACAGTATCCTCGAAAACACTGTGCGAAATTGGTTTCGGCAGCAGTGATGGAATTGATGTGGGAGGTTTCAAGCTTTGTGGGCTTGGAGGAATAGTTTGAGTAGGAGAATCAGGTAGCTCGCTCGGCGATATCATGCCACTTGTAATGCGGCTGGAATAATAAAAATAGATAAAATAAATGAAAAAAACGCAACAGAAAAACTACGCACACATCTAGTTGCAACTTAAATTATAGAGAAAGTTGAAAAAGGGCAAAAGAATGATGAACGGAGCTGAAGTAAAAAGTACCAAATGGAAAACAAGACATACACGAGCAAAAGCAGACTGCAGGCTGACATAAAGAGAGCAGAATGATGCATGACATCAAAAGTATTCAAAAGCCTTAGCAAATTATTATAAAGATCTGCGTAAAAAATATTGATGCATATTTATTATTTCAGTTCTTCATCAAAGAGGTATTCTATCCCAGTTTAATTTAAAATCATAATTTAAATCCAGATGGGATGTTGAAGTCCCCATAAAGCGGTTCGTCACTAGATATGAGGCATTCTGTTTTTCAATCTATTAGGTTTTCATATTCAAAAACAAATATCTAATTAATAAAAGTTTTTATGTTCGAATAGTTTTTCTTTGATTTTAGAAAAGAGGTTTTTCCACTTTTTTTTGTAAAACGTTAGAACTCAATTTAAATTGAAAAAGTTCTTATGCATATTATTCAATTTTTAAAAAACAGATTTTGTGCATAGATGGTTTCAGATTCCTGAGAAAAAGCTATGAATTATTATTTACTTGAACGTGATATTCGGTACAGCTCCATATTGTTTCCTAACAGTGAAAATATATTTTTCTAATTTCTACGACTAGTGTACATAATGATTTTTTCCTCTACTTCCAGATGTCTTAGATTCCGTTGAAAATGATTTTAATATTAATTTTTTGAGCCACTCAAAGCTCCATCCTTTGAAAACATCATTATTACCACTGTATTAAAACAAACCATGTCTCCCATCACTCGAGAACATCATTGTAAAGGGCATAGACCTACTTTGGATCAAGTCATAAGATTTTAAGTCGCCAAATGAATGCAGAGATTTTACTACATTTATTAAAAAAACTCCTGAATGTTGGCAACAATGATACACAAAGTGAGAAAAGTTTTGATTCTTCATTAAACGAATAAATCCTGCAAAGGCAGATCATTTAATCTAAGCAATAGTTTCAATTATTATAAAAATCTGTTTAAATGTAGGCAAAATAGTGGATTATGAGGGCAAAAGTCATAGTTAACGCAACCAAGCAATTTTCAAGCAAACAAAATTGATAGACAGTATATGTCTTTAACAGACCAAAGCACGAGGCAATGCTTACCAACCACAATCAAAAAAACTTAAAAACAGGAAAATGAAAAAAGAAAAAAAAATGAAGCTACTGATAGAAAAGTAAATTAAAATAATAAAAACTACAAGTTTTAGCCTCGAAAAACTTCTTTTAAAAAGGTATACATCATGCATTTTAAAAGAAAAACTATACAAAGAGGATTTTTTCAACAAAAATTTGCAAGCTTTTTTATTGATTCCTTGCTAATAAATATAATATTATCTTATCAAGATTAACAAACAAATGCACTTAGTTTTTTGGTACCTAAATATGACAAGAGACTGAACTCCATCAATAAAAATAAAAAACATAACAAAAGTACGGCTACTAGCTGCAGGCCAAAAAACTTAAGTTTACGCATCAACGGAGAAAAAAAGGCACGATATGTTCTATTTCTTACGCCTTCTTTCATAAAGTTTCAAAATGGCTTCATTGAATATAACAGACTTAGGTAATTCAGAAATTTTCTAAATTACCACAAAAAGAGAGACAGAAATGACTAGAGACTTGAAACAATTAAAATAAAGTAAATCTAAGCTACTGAATCAAACAAGAAAAAGATACGGGAAAACCTTGTCTTCTACGCCTGTTCTGAACAATAAACATTGGAAGGTTTATGGAGCTGATGGTAAAGTGAGGGAACTTTCGTTTGTTTGAATGAGGCCTTTAGAATTATTGGATGGTCCTAAGAGAAAATTGTCCACACCTTGGGTTGACAAGGATAGGTTTGAATTCTCATGAAACAGACATTTGAAAACGGTTGTATCTAGAGATGCATTCAACTCTTTGGCAATAACAAACTCTGAGGCCAATCTGTCAAAATGAACTATCCCAGGAAAAGGAATATTGACCTGAAAAACATTCTCGAATTGTAACTGATCGATGAACTGGCTCTTTTTAACAGTAACATTGCTTAGAACTCTCAGCTCTTTGAATTCAAAACTTACTCCTGTTAAATCAAGAAAAACATCGTCAAACAACAACTGTTCAGCAGACACATTCAGAATTTTATTAACGAACAGATTTTCAACATACAGAGAGGTAAATATTTTGGGGCCGATTATTTTCCTTGGCTTATCCAAGCGAACAATATTTTCAAAAAATTCATGGGATGCAATGCCATTTATACTTTCTGTGACAATCAAACGATAGAATGAAGCAAACCCGGTTACTTTTAACTCTCCTCTAAATTTTCTTGGTAAGATGGACGCTTGTTGAAATGCCCAATCGTTATTGACTGTCAGCTTGTGTTTAAATGCTTGAATATGATTAGTGAGCTCAAATAGTTGAAACTTGGTGGATTTCCACAAAACCTCATCCAACTTAATACGAAGTCTTTGAGTTTCACGGAATTTAAGATCATTCACTTGAATATCTATAAAAGAGAAATTATCTTTTAAAGAAACCGTGTGGGATGAAATTGAATCAAAGGACCAAGCACTTGTAACGATGTCACCCCTCGTATTTAGAATTTTTTCTGACTGTTTCATTAATTCTGAAACATCGAGAAGTTGTGTATCTATTTTGGCTTGAAGGGAAGTCATTCTAATGATCAACTTGTGTAATTTTGATGCAACTGAATTTTCTCGACGGCTCTTACCAAACAAAAGATGCAAGATCATCGTCCCCTTCATTTGTGTTGGGCAAAATATCCACAGATCTTTACCATACAAATGAAGAACAGCACAAGATGGAAAATTAATAACAGACAACAGCTGGGTTGTCGAATTTTTGCTTGAGGATGGTAAATTAATGTTCCTGTGCGTCAAATTAGACGAGATAAATTCAGCAACTTTGAAGGACGTTGCTGTTTTACCTAATAAAATGTCATTTGTTCTCCAAGATGGAACAGGTATTGGTAAAAAACTTTTGAAAACCCAATTATGCATCACAAATTTTTCTACATGACTACAAGGCGTAAATTTTATCACTTGAGACACATCTCCTACAACAGCCAAATAACCAAAACTATTGGCTTGAAACACAGCCACATGTTTCAAGCCAACTACATGAATTTTTGTGCACACTTGGAAATAGATTTCATTATTCGTTCCTGAGTGAGAGTAAACATGGATCATTCCTTTCGTGATCGAGGTAACTATTATGAAACTATTCTGATGGATTTGTAAAAATAGAGGGTCTCTACACAAACCAGGAACAACTAACGTTTGAATTAAGGTAATAGTAAGCGCATTTAATGAGATGTTTGACGGAAACATGAACAATCGCAGGGTCATTACTTTATCCTCCGTCTGAGTGCTTTGCAATGATATCAAGCGCAGACTAATGGGAACAACAATCACATAATGCACCGGTTCCGGCAAAGCAAATACGCTATGAAGCACTGCCTGATCATTTATGAATTGATACCAACGCAGCGAATAGTCACTATCTGTGTTAACCACAAGCAAAAGATTAACAGTCGTTAATTTCAGATCAATATTCCACAACCTGAAAAGGTCACCAATAATTGGTTCCCCAAATACAGACACTTTCGTTAAAGAAGAATTGACAGTTGATAATTTTGAGGGGTCTCGGACACTTGAAAATACAAAGCTCTTAGCCTGCAGCCCAATAAGAAAAGCTGATTTCTTTGAGTTCAAGCATAGCCATTTGGTGATGTTTGATTGTATAAATACGTTTTGCCACTTTGCAGAGATAATTTCGTGAATCTCCCTAGATGTATTTTCTGAAGTTTTAGAGGGTTTTGAGACCGGTTTTTCGTGCAAGAGCTGAGAAGCAAGTTGATCCAGTTTTATTTGAATGTTAAGAAGTGGATTGTGAGTCATCGGGACAGGGTAGTAAACAGCACTTATGGGCTCGAATAAGCAAGTTGAAAATAAGGTCGCATAATAGACTAAACGTAATACAAACCTGAAAAAAGGTAAGAAAACAGAGCTCATTAGAACTCGGGAAGGGTGCCTCATACTATTGTGAGGATATTAAACTGATACACGTTTGGGTACTTAAAACTGTGTAATGTTTGTGAAAAAATAAAAAGGTAAATAAAGCCAACATCAGATAGATTAAGATAAAAAAATTCTCTCTTTTGGGAACCATGCTTACTTTAAAAGCCTCTGCCACATTGAATCTTTTAGAACTTTGTCACTGAGTTGAAACGCTAGGCTACTATTTTAAATTTACATTTGAGATACAATAAGAGAGGAAATCAACAAAGGATAGAGAAATCTCCTCAAACAATCCAAGGCATCTCCCTATTGACAATAAGTTCTGAAAACGAAATGCAACTGAGAATACTACGTATAAGAAGCGAAATAGAAATTGGCAAATACGAAAAAAAAATGCTCGCAAATAGCTTGAAGATTAATGCAGGCAGCTGAAAAGCAAGCTGAAAGAGGAAACAAAGGCAGCAAAAAGCAGAGAGCGATGAACTAAAATCTTTAAAAAAGATTGACTTACCTGAATTCGCTTACGACTGAGCTACGATCATCTGGATGGTCTGGTGGGGTGCTTACAGAATCTAGAGAGCTAGCACGAGAAAACATGAGTGGTGTCTCCATGATCATATTTTTCCCTGGAAAAATAAAACTCATTTTTAAAATCAGGGTAAAAGGTTCAAAGTCAAATTCCTAGAATTTTTTTTACATTATTTTAAGGATAGGAAAAAAATGAACCGTTGAGGCAGCCAAAATTTAAATTTTAGTTTATCAGTACTATTGACAGAATTCTTTAAGTTACCGATGGTTTTCCTGAACTTTTAATAATTTTTCCTACCAGATAAGACTTCTAAGGACTCCCCAGTTTTCCTACTTGGTAAGAACTGAGAAATAAGGTGAAGCTACGAAAAAAAACTAATCAACAATAAACAAAAAAAAAAAATCGAAAATATCCTAAAAATATACAGACAATCAAGTTACGCATTTAAGATCTTGGTTCAATTGCATGTATTCAGTTTGTTTGTTATCATTACTGGACTATTCTCCTCATACCATCATTAATGTCATTTGGTGTTTGTGATTCAGGGTGATTCGGAATCGAGTGAAGAGACTCCGCAGGAGAAGTATGTGTGCACACTTCTTTTTCTTCATCTATGCCTTTTCCATCTGTTGCACTGGGCCTCAGGTCGGTGACCGAAGTTGCTGATGAAATATTGCAGGGTGTGCCTTCTGTACAGTATGTTCGAGGCACTTCTTGATCCACAATTTTTTCAGAGGAATCATCTTCCGCATAACGCAAGCTGTAATTAGTTGGCTGATCTAGATCCGTTTCAGCATACTGTGGAAAAAAAAACAGACATGAAAACGTTTAATTAAATTATGTTTCCCTTAGTACATAAATCCTCAAGCATCCTTGAAAATAGTAGTAGCTAACAATTGTAGTCAAGTTACTTACTCTTGTGGAATAAAACAAGAAAATAAAGAACAAAAAGTTAGAAAGATGATCTTATTTTTCCCTTTTGTGATATGAGAGAATTCTGCGCTTGCATTTCTAATCTAGTTGTGAAAGGGTTTAAAATAAGTATAAAAAAAGGAAGAATCGTAGTAATCTTCATTAGAATTCGCCGACTATTGAATAATTTACCTGTCCGGCGCTTGGAGTTGATTTTGTGGCCGTTACATTTCCATCCCATCGTTCTTCATCCACTTCAATATTATCACATGTATCAGCAAGATTAACGTCCAACTCTTGTTCAAAAGCCTTGCGCTTTCGTATTGACAGACCTGGCATTCCTGCGAAAAGGTGAAGCAAATATATACTTAAAAAAGTTAAATTTTTGAAGGCTTGTTAAATTAGAGGTATTAGGCATCCTTCTGGAACAACCCTGATGAAAAAACCAACAGAAAGATGTTGAAAAAGTGCGCCTTCGATCGCTGAATGATTGTAAGATTAAAAAATGGATGGTACAGATAAAAAAAGGCATTGTCATATCATATTATCAGTATAATATCACAAAAGCGTGCAATCAACAAAAGACCAGTCAGCTTATTCTACAGTCTAATGCAACTCTCATGACGCATTAGGTCTTCACTTTACTATGATAACACATCAATACAGAAAAACTGGCAACTTGGCTCTTGTGTGTGCTATTTTTGGTATTAAAAAGAGTCAATTTGCTAATTCTTTTTTAAAATGTGAATTTCAAATTTGATTATTTTTTTCATTTATTTCTCAGAGTCTTCATTTTCTACTAGCCATTCCTGGTGTGCTTTACATGCCCTCTACAAGAATTAGGTACAACTTGGGTAATACTAGAAAATTTTCGTCATCTTTTTCAGAGTTACAAAGTTAGCATTTGTATATTAAATTAAGGTAAGTCCAAATGAAGTTCTCACATCTCACTGTGCGTATATTACATTATTACCATATCATATAACACAAAATAAAAGCCAAAAGTTAAAAAAACTTACCCTTATTAGCTTTGTTGAAAGGATCCCAATCCGGCCGCGCCGCCAACAAATTTTTAAGAGTGGCAGATGATCCAAGGGAAATCATTTTATGCTTAGAATTAACTAAGCTGCGTAGCAACGGAACTGCACCTAAATCCCAAAGAAGCTGCTGATCTTTTTCTGATTGGGCTGAAAAATTCCACAATGTACAGCAGGCATTCGAGACAACAGCAAGACTTGGTGACCGCAATAGCTGAAGGAGGGTTGCTAGGCAGTTGTTCTCACGTAAAATTTGTCTGAAATCAGAGAAAACAAATACTCATGAGTAAACTTTTGAGAGGTCTCCATGGAGGATTTGAGTTTTCTTCTTGGGCGATAAAAAAAGGATCTGTTTACCATTTCTTTGGATAATGGTGATTTTACTAAAAGTGATCTAAGGCTTTAATCAAACTGAAAGCAAGTAAAAACGTGGAAATTTGATATTGAGATTGTGAGTTTTTTTCCTGCTTTAAACAAATAAAACCATTACTGTGACCATTTTTTTTTAATACAAGTTTAAAAGTCATCTTAAACTTTCTTGGAAAATTCAATGAAAGTGCCCCCATAGCAGGAACAAAAATTATACATGATGAATACCGAACCTGTAATCTTCTCTCACAGCTATTTGACAGGAGACATTTCGTAAGATACCTCCAGCATTTTCATTGATTGACAAAGTTTTAGAAGGTGCTTGGTAAGTTAGCATTTTGACTAGGTATTGAAGACAACCTTCAACTGCGCAGATGTCAGCCTGGAAAAGATAGAAAAAGTTTCCATTTAAACTTGGGTTTAATCGCATTAAATAATCACTACGATGTCAAATTTACACGGAAAAATTCACACAGATGAAAACGGGCGATATCTTCCATTCTTCTATTGATCTTCTATAACTGAGGATATGAGCAGTTTGTATCATTCCTTTACAAAAGGAGACTGCAATTTTTGAAAAAAGCACATCTAAAATTCTAATTTCTAACACTTTTCTTTTTCTTTTTCAAATAGTTGCTAAAAACAGCTTCTGCACGACTGCTTAAAAACCTGTCTCTTTAACATAAACCCGAGGTTAAAATTCAGGTCACAAACTCTAAAGTACTTCTTACACACATAAGAATATCAGTAAATTGACGTAGGTAAGAAAGAGATTAAGGTAGGCTCAAATACCTTGTTTTCTTGAGAATGGGTAGAAAAATTCCATAAGGCAGACAAAATAGACTTGAGTGTTGATTCTTTTTCTGCCCTCATTGCTGCTTTTACAAGAGCGGTAATGGCATTCACTTCACGGAGCGCTATTTTGCTGCGTTCATCAGCACGCCATGACAAATTTCGCAGGACACTTGCTGTCACCTGGAATTTTTACACAGAACATAGAGAAGAAGGATCTTTTGGTTGACAGAAAAAATTTGGAGGAAAATAGAAATATTTTTGTTATACATTGAAAAGTTTAATCTTACAAAACTTTAAAAATTTAATCCCAGCTATTTAAAATATCCTAGCAAAACGCTATGTAATCGGATTTTAAAATAAATTCGTTGATGCATGTCTTTGCACACATATACAATTACCTGCAGACCTTAGATAAGTTTATCCTTTCAGCTATACTGCTAAAATCATAGACATTTTGGACAGATGGTTCATTACATATATTTAATTTACTGATCTATGTAGAAAGTAATGTCACCAATAGTGAAAACAATGTCTCACATTTTTGAGAAGACGTTCTTTTGAGAATTGAACATTTTTAATTTCTATTCAAGGAAAACAGAAAGAATACCTGGCGCAAGTCTTCACTTGGTGATTCCAATTGTGACACAAGAGCAGCCATGAAGGATGACATGGAGCATACGAGAGATTTATTGGCACTATCCCCGAAGGTAAGATTAGTCATCGTCATACCGGCAAATCGTCTCAACGTTATTGAATGCTGGTTAACTGTGTTACTGCCATGAACTTTATGATCCACCTGCAAGTATAGATTGGATATTATAAAACCAGTAGTAAATTACAATAAAAGATTCTCACATACACAAAGTTTTGACTGCGTGAAGGAAGATACATTTTCATCAAGTAAGGCAGGATTGAAAAAACGTTCTTGACGTCACAACCAAATTGTGGGTACACTCCAAGAATTTTAGGTACTGACAGTTTTTTTTTTCTTGGGTCGGTAGTTTTGGTCTCTTGTAAACAATAAGATTTCACGAAATAAGCAAACATCCGAGTGCAAGTTGCAAATCAACTGCAAAATTCGACAAAATTATAATTAGCGCATTAAGTTGACCTTGTTGCAAAGACCTGTTGCGAAGAATTATAAATAACCCTTAACTTGAATAATAACCCAATAATTTGAAATTTTCAAGTGATATAAAAATAAGTAAAAATGCTATGAGATAACTTACAAGAATTAATTTTGAGATCGTTTGGAGAGCTCCCAACTGACACATCGCATGTCTGTGTTCCTCATCAAACGAAAATTTCATTAGAGCTGCTACTACTTGTCCAATGTGGTTGTCATCTATGGAAGGGAAAAAAGGCAAATAAATTCATGAGTTCAGTCATTATTGAACATTTTGAAGAGAGAAAGCTACAGAAATTAGATAACCAAGGTATTGCGAGAAAAAAAAAAAATCTTTGAGGCTAATCTAAAAATTTGTAAATGATAAACCCAGAAAAAGAAAAAAAAGAAAATTTCTGGCAGGAGGGTGCATGACTAAGAAGAATTATTATGGGTTAAATGAAGAAAGTAAAGGAATAAAAATCATAACTGAATGTCTCGTCTTGAACCATTTAGAACTAGATCAGGCAAAAAGGCAAGATAATTGAAATTGGGCTTTGTTTCGGAAAAAAAGCAGAAGCCATGTTACATTTATATTACTTCATACTGCATTCATTTTACTTCAGATTATATTTTTATGTTTCCAGTATTAGGAGGAGAATCGGTTACTGATGATTCATTAACTCATGGCAAAAATAGGAACAGCAGTACCTATGTTCATGACTATGTTGAATCGAAGTTCAAGACTTTTATGAAGTTCTACTCGATAAAATCAAGACCTTAAAAGCAGTTTTGAGGACTTTCAAAAAAAGTTGCATAAATCTTCAAAGGGCATAGAGGAGAACTAATGAAAAATACTTCATTGGAATAGAGAGAAAAAAGTATTTACCTTGCTGTTCTGGGTCTGGTGGGACATTGGAAGGTAATTTTTCATAATAATCCCGAACTTGCTCCAAAAGTCTGAGTACTCTTGCCTCTCGCCTTCCTTGTTTCTCATCCGAGTTAGAGTGAACGATGTTCCTAAGTGCCTGGGCAGCTCCTTCTTTAACGGTTGGACTTTCATCCGCACCATGTAAAAGTTGCACTAAAAGCGGTAAGCATCCTGAAAAAATTGGATACTTATGATAGTTTCAGAAGATCGAACAAGGGAGGGAACACAACATACCACTGGTAAAACACATGGACAGGTAGTCTACTAAATTTCATTTTCGACTTTCTGATTTTTGCGAATATTAAAAATGAAATTCCCTAATAGAGAATTTGCAGGTGTCTGAAATTGTGTGATTTTCATATTCAAAATGATACTACCAGGAAAACTGAGCACGAGGATATCCTTGGTTTCTAAATTAGACAATTATTGGAGAAAATATGGCCAAATAACCTAGTCTGCTAAAATGCATGTGTTTAAATGGAAAATTCCGCCAGATGACGTCACAAGGCGGCAAGTAATCTCATCAATTTTTCTACAATTTTCCATGTTAGAAAAAATTATGAAAAATACTGCAAACTCAGCTCATTAGGCACTCTTAGATGAAGCAATAAAATTTTTGTGTGCAAATTTTCCATTATTTGCGAGAATAAATTGACACTAGTTTGATTTTACAAACCCCCGTATTTTATAAATGGGTCACTAAACCGTGAACAAATTTTTAGTAGCAAATACACTTTTCCAAAAAGTAAAGGGAGCGTAAAAAACGATGCGTACATTAATAACGAAAAAATAACTCAAAAACCAGTTCAAAAAGTGCAAATTTAAAACACCCTGCTTCTGCGCCGAATTGAATGATGTTTTACGGCACCAATCAGAGGTAAGCACCGGTTTATACAATTTCCGTCAAATGTCTTTCTACTACTTGTGAGGAAAAGGATAGGAAAGTTGAAACTATACCTTTGAAATCGAAGGATCGAATCTTGTTCATTTTACCTGAAGTAACCGAACGGCAATTCCACATTTAAGTAAGTTTTATTTTAGCAAAAATCAGTGGAGAATGAGAGAAAATAGTGATTTGACTGCCGCAGTAATTCACTGCTATCATTTTCCTGTCATTCCATAGTGTTGGAAATTCCTTTGAGTCTTTGGAATTTTCAGAGGCAGGCTTATCCAGGATTTTGACTCCAAAAATATGCAATTAATCTCTCCATAATCTACTCACCTAATACTTTCAGAATATTAAATAAAAAACTCAAGGTTTAGTGATCCATTGTGAAAATCAACTCTTAAACAAGAAATAATTAGCATTGGTTGAATGACAAAACTACAAATGATGTCACGTGTATAATCTAACCTTCATTTGATCCGTGTAAAAGATAGGTACATGTTAGGTATACCTCGGTAATCATATTAGGTATATTAGGTAATATCTTGTTCATAAGTTGATTTTCAAACTTCCCAATGTGTGCATCGTTTTCTACGAGATTGACAAAAATAGAAGAATGAGGATGTATAAACAAACCTGACTTCCTCATTGCCATGCAACTGTCTGGTGAATTTGTCATAAGTAACAGGGTTTTCGTCATTTTCTCTCTATCATGAGTGCTAAGCATTGAGAGTAAATTGTACACCATTTCAACTTTAGTACCCAGCTGTTGTGAACTGTGACTCCTTTTTTCTATTGTTTCATCCTGTTGGGAAAGAGACAGAAATTTTAATTCACAAAGAAAATTGCAAGCACTCCTCATTTCTGATTAATTATCATTGGTATAATTATGCAGATAAAACTCATGAATGAGTCATGAAAAAGATAAAATTGAAGCAAACAAAAAAATGAGGAAGACAATTTGTAACTGAGAAAATTAAAATGCTATACAAACAAGCATAATCACAAAAAACACAGCACGAGGCTCATCCAAAAAATAATTTTCCTTTCCAACAATTCAATTTATCTTTTCCAGTTCACAAGATGCAAAAAAGTGGAACTTCTGTTTAGAATGACCCTCAAACTTTAAAATTCACACTTTCTCAGCTTGGTATTCCTTGAGAAATTACACGGAAGATAAAGAGGAAAATAGACTGATACTTACAAATTTGGGAGAATCTGCGCTAACAGGACCAACACTCCGCCACATATTGAAATTTAGACTGGGTCGGTTGGGAGGAAAGTTATCGTTCAAGATTACCTGAGAATCAAAAATAACCAGTAAATTATTTTGAAACAGGTCGGTAGATGACTTTTGATTTAGGCTGATGGAATATGCTTTTATTGAATTAATGATAAAAGTTAAGAGTTGTTGTCTAAATTATATTTTTCACCTGATCAATTCCTGAGAGAGAGAGCAAAAAAGTTTGGTTCAAAGATGATAAACCAATCTACTAGACTGCACATTGCTGTCGAACATGTATGTTCTATGCTTCGATCTTTAGCATTTCCATTCGATGCTAAGAACAGATTGAAAACTTTCAACTATAAATAAATTGACACTTAAAACAAGTAAAACAAGAGTGTTGACTTTAGGGGAAAAAAATCATTGGGTTTTGTTTGACTCCATCTGCTTTTGAAATAAGTTAGAAGTGAGAAATTACCTCCGATACATTCTGACAGCCATCCGTTTTGTTGATGTCAGGACTGCATACTTGATCTTTATTCATCCAACTGAGAATTTTTGCAAGAATTTCATTGCTTTCACTCATTACTTCCTGCAACAAAACCAATAAGAGGAAACATTAGTATCCCTGTAAGAAATCTCCGGAGTTTTTTTCAGCCACAGAGTTCAATCAAATCATAAGGAATGAAGTACTTAGGAGATGCAAACAGTATATAAAAAACGTGTTCTGAATCTGGCAACTGAAATCATTGAGAAATCAATTACCAGTCGCTGGAAAAACAGCATTTCAACTTTATTTAATAAAATAAACAAGTTCACAGATGAAGAGCCACTTGATCTAATATTCACAAGGAACCAAAAATATCAATGAGGGTAAGTACCTGAGCTATTTTAAAAACAGTAACTCATGTTGATTTCAAACCAAGACATCCCAACTTTCACGATTAAAAAACAAAAAATAACAAGAACACAGATTGATTTTTTAAAGAAATTTTGATTCATTACTTCTGAAACTGCTTTTGTTGGAAAAAATTTTCTGACACTCAAATTTCTTATCACTAATGGCGAGAGAAAAACAGAGAGAAAAAAAGGGAAACAAAAAAAACTGATAACTTTATAAAAATTAGAACAAGATAATTTTTGCCCCATTTAAGTAATTTTGTTTCTTCATTTCAAACAAAAGAATAGATATGTAACCTAAAAGCAAACTGCTTTCCTAACAGGTTAGCCTAGCGAAAATGAAAATTAAAGATTATTGAAGTTGGCAAGTGTTAGAGGGGGAAAATTTGGGGAAATGGTCAATTAATTTCTCAAAGATTAACTCCTGATAAATATTCATATGGACTATTAAATATTTTCCGTATTTTTTTCAATGTTTAAAAACATTGAGTAATAACTTTTTTCTTACTATCAATGCTAATACGAATACCTAATCTGGATTCTCCATTATGGAACATCGGATGGAATTTTTTCCGGAAAAGATTTCCGGAGAATTGATTTAGAATTGAGGATCAGCTTCGTTTCGAATCCGTGCTAAGTAAGAACGCCGTCTGAGAGCCTTCAGACATAGCAAAATTTCTCTGACAAATCACGAATTTTCGGGCGAATTTGTAACAAAATTTATTCCGATTTTTGCAGCGAATTTCGTTCGTAATTTGATCTAAAGTTCTGAAAATGTCAAGGCGAAATATTCATGACTTTCCTTCAATATACATGTTTGATCCAGGGAAATTTGGCGACATTTGAATACTTATACGGTGTTTTTCCTTGGAACGGAAGAAATAATATCCTCTAAAAACATGTATGGGGAAGGTTCAAGAAATTATTGAAGACACAAGACTCGATGAATTGTTTAGGTTGAAAGCTTAAACAAAGCATTAAAATTCTGAATCAGTGCATGGACATTAAAACATCAGCACGGGTCAATTCATTTGACAAAATGGGTATGATAATAATGCGACTCGGTACACCTTTGAATTATTACGTCCGAAGGTTTGGAGCATCTACCGTCTACTTGGGGTGATAATGAAGCGTCGCGGGTCACCCCCCCCCCCTTCTTATTAAGCATTACAACACGTCGCATTGCACGCGTGCATGCGCGCACTGCTGGTCATTAAGTTGAAGGTCATCAAAATTGTTCGACGCAAGTGCTACCCAGCGTGACATGGACATGAATCATTTTATATTTGGAATATTTCAATCCGAAGTCATACAAACAAATGAGAGAAAATCTGAATCATGACATGTCTGCTCAAGTTAACGTAAAAAAAACACCCCCCCCCCTTAAGGAGCAATCCTAATATTAAAATAGCTGAAAAATGTATTTTTTTAAAATATAATTTATTATGAACAGAGAGAGAGGTTTAGTACCGGAAAGGTAAATTTTGATACTACGAATATACGTAGGAGGTAAATTTCGTTAGAAGCAGGGCTCCTTAGTGGAAAAGGATCAATAAACAGGGTGTTCGCAACGGGCACCTTAATAATCGATTCTTTACCATGGCTTCAAAGGGGAAAATATCGATAATTATTTACGCTTCGCCACTGAAGGCCTTACCCCTTGCGGATCAATGCCTTCGATCCTTCCTTCACCGGGTCTTAGCTTGAAGACGTTCATTGTTTACAGAAAATAATCAAGACCGAGAGAACGAATTCCAACAGCAAGCGCCTCCTTTTAATCGTCCATCTTTCAAACTTCTACACTTTATTCTGAACTCTGAACAAGCGTTTGAAAATCGTTCTGAAAGCTGAAAACGGCGCTGGCGAACTTCATCCGTGCTGTTCTCATAAGTCGCGATGTATCGTTCTTGAGCTTTGTCTTACTCACTGAGTATCAATTACTGGATTTTTTGGGGGTCTAATTTTCCGTGAAATGATGTAGAATTAATCTCTATGGCTAGATTCTCTAGACTGTCGTATGTTCATTTGTTCATATCTACTCCCCACCCCCCTACCTTGCCGGCGATTTGCAAGCGGCTTACGTATTGTTCCGATGAGTTGTAACTATAGCAAAGACATGATGGAGATTTGAAATTACATTCTCCGCTTGAAGCGCCTTCATTTCGTCGTGATACGCTACACCTTGTCGCGCGGTTAATTTAGTTGCCTGTCCGACCCAAACCCATCTATGGACACAGATTTCACTACAGGCTCGAACGAGTGTATTCTATGCTACCATGCATTTACGGAGGAAAACCTATTATTCAAATCGAGGGCAAAATGATCAGTGCTTTATATTGTTCTAGTATTTCTGAATTTTATGTTTTTTCTTCGCTAGCGACTCGCTAAGTGCTGTAGCGATTACTAAAAAGCCTCCAGACAAGGTATAAATTAAAGCACTACGCAACATTTTTTCTCTTCAAAATTGCATAAGAAACATGAATTACACAACCCAAAATACGATAGAGTGTTAACTATAAACATTGGCAATATGGAAAATTAGAAATAACATTACTTGTGTAATTTAACTCCCATCTGATGTCCGTTAAAGGTATTCGATAATATCTAGTTCCGAAGTTGATAATTGGACTTCTCGTTGTGTGAATCGATTTCCTTGTGCAGTTTTGAAGAGAAAACAAGAGACGTTTACTTCTGTTTTAGACCCTGTCTAGTGGCTAATTACGGCCTGTGACAAATTCACACTATCTCATAAGATGTTCCACATTGAGCTGAAACAGCGAATTCCTGTACTGCTATGCAAAGGAAAAACGCCGTAAGAGCATTTGAGAGTTGTCAAATTTCCTGCGAAACATGCTAATTTTTGTAGAGAGTTATACATAGTTTCTCTCGAAATTTACTGATAGTTTGGATCTGGTCGCGAATAACATTCTGTGAAAAATTAAAAGAAAAATGTTTACAGATTTTCCTGAAAATTCATATTTTATCAAAGGAAATTTGGCAATGTCTGAAGGCTAATATGGCGTTTTTACTTATACCACTGCAGTATAGTTAAGTTGAGGTGATTGGATGAACCTCATACTTCGTGTCAGAACGACATGCGATACATCGCATCGATTAATTCCACGATTTCAACCACTTGTCATTTTCATCGAATTTTGAGATTGCATTACTGTTGTCACGAGGCTGAAGAATTCACCTACCAAATTTGACAAACAAATTATACAAGGTAAACGCAGGGTTTTTTTTTAGAGGAAAAATATAGCGTTCGAGTGCAGTTTCGATATGAGTATCGAATGTGATATTTCTCCTCTAAAAAGCCCGCCTACATTACGCTAAAGTTCGTCTTTGGTAAGTAAATTCTTCAGTCTCGTGATAAAATAAATGCGATCTCAAAATTCGAGAAAAATTATAAGTAGCTGAAAACATGGAACTAATCGATGCGATATATCGCATGTCGCTCTGACACAAAATATGACGGCCACCTAATCACAAGTGACGCGAATTTTATTCGGAGGTTCGGTTTTGCGTCCGAACCTTCGAGCTGCCATTCTGTTGAGTTCTCTTCCGAGTTGAGTGCCATTCGGTGACCAACAAATCGCAACGTTGGTGCGCGATTTTGGTACCACCTTGCGAGGTGGTTCTAGAACAGGTCCGACCTATCGTAAACCAACGGATCTGATTGGTCGAATCTGGTAACAACGGTGTCCACTGGTGTTGGTGATTGATGAAACAAACCCCGGACTTCCCTAAGAGGTTCGGAACTTGAAATAAAATTCGCTTGATCATACCTTCTTGGACGGCAAGTAGACGGGCAAACTATTGCAGAGGTTGATATTATCGTCACTCTCGATGGCGCAGAGGTGCTCCGTCATGGAGTTGAGGTTGATGTTGAAGTCGGAGCGATTGCAGTTGACGAGGTCCTGCTCCGAGATGAGCTTCGAGCGCCAGACCTTCTCCTCGTTGTCGTCCACGATGGACGTCAGGGTCTCCGTGTTGCGATTCTTGGCGCGACCGCGACCCTCCGGCCCGCACGAGCGGATCCGGGGGTGGCCCGCCCCGCCGCCGGGGGGCGCCGCCCCGGCCCATCCCGCCGAGGGCTGCGGCAACGCCGACGAGGACCGCTTCCGCCGCGGTAGTCGCGATGGTTTGCTCAAGCACGTTGTAGTAGACATTGGTGATTCCACTTCGGTATAGTGTCCGTTAGAGTTTTGAGGGGTTCAGATCACATTTTACGGTTCGGAGTTCTGCTTCACGGCTGCGTGCGGCGAATGAGGAACAGAATAGTAGATGAAATAGAAGGTCGATCGAGAATGGACTACCGGACAGGGTGCGAATTTAAGCATTTTAATACCTGGTTTCTCATCAGAAATTCGAGTAGAACACGATTTGTACGACAAACATTACTAAAAATAACTCTTAACAACGATTTCGATGAAGATTCAACGATTTAACGATTTCCGATTAATAAATTTTTCTCACTTAGAAGAAGAAGAAGAAGAAGAAGAAGAAGAAGAAGAAGAAGAAGAAGAGGAGGAGGGAGAAAAAAAGAGAAAAAAACAATAATACACTTGAGATTAATCGCAAACGAAACTTTACCGTGATAGTCTCTGCGGTATGAAGATATAACAATCTCAAAATCGGCACCTCGGCTTAGCTATTGTACGATGTTTAAACCGTGAACGACACGGGGTGAGAAAGAAACCTCGCAAAACCATTTAAGTGCGTTATTTAGAAAATTAGAAAATTGCTTCTCATGCGAGTCAGGGCCGGATTTACCTACTTGCCGCCCCCTTCTCATTCGTTCTGAAACTTTAAAAAAAACCTTAAAGTGAACGTGCCAGAGGGGGCGGGTTGCATAAGACACGTGTACTCGTGTTGGACACATTTTATGCAAAAAAAATGTGCAAAACATAAATCGAGTTTAATAATTTTAACTTCCGCTGCCGCGCGCCGCGCTGACCGCACTGTATTTGGCGCAATGCGTGAAGTATTCATGCACTCTTGTAGGCGCCATGCGTTTCCCGCCGACCGCTGCTGACCGCACTGTGTTTGACGCAATGCAGGAAGTATTCGTGCAGTCTTGTAGGCGCTAATATGTGTAACGCGCCGACCGCCGCGGCGAGGGCTTTTCCGTTCAATCTCAAGTCCTCGTCATCATTTCACTCTGCGCCGCGCCGCGCCGTTCCAGACCAAATTGGGGTCCTGGTTTCTCTCTTAACTCGACTAATTGAAGGCGCTGCCTCTTGTATCGCCGAAAGACGACAAAATTAGAAATTACTAAACTCTCAGGAAATGAGAGAAAAAAAAGTCAACATTTGCCGCCATGGGCCGCGGCCGATGTGACCACCCCCTAAATCCGGCCCTGATGCGAGTGGGAAATTCAATTTTTCCGCCACTAATACTAGATAGAGACTTTCATACCTTGCTTCGGAGTTAATTTTAGTGATTTTCGTTGCGCAAATCGTGTTCTATGTAAAATTTCGGAGCAGAGCCATGCATTAGAATGCTTAAATTCGTGCCTTGTCTAGTAGTTCATTGTGTAAAAAGGCTACTCAAGTTAACCCTGCTAAGACAGAGCATGATGTATGGGGGTAAAAATTGGTATTTGTACCATACAATTTTCATCTCCTTCTTTAGAGGAACGAAATTATGGAAAATGAAGAGAAAAATGGAAAAATTTAACAGTGAAAAACGCGACAGCATGTAATCGAGCTAAAGTCTAGGTCGTTTCACTCAGATGATCTACCCTTCATTAGTACTGTGCTCTTCTTTAGCAGGGCAGACTTATTTCGTAACGTACTAAAGGGAGGGGGGAGTGGAAATCTGCATAGGGGAACAGTCAGGTAGAAGACAATGGAGCAGGGTCAAAGGGGGACGAGAAATGATGAGGCATAGCGGAATTAGAGTGCTGAAAGAGAAAGAGAGAGGAGGGGAAAAAACCCTATCAAAACTGGTATTGACCCGTTTCTTGTGGAAAACTAGGAGGGTAGGGTATATGAAAAAGAGGGCTCGAAGTTATTACGTGGTTGAGTGAGAAAATGGAGGAAGTGGAATGGAGTGGAAAAGCCTCAATAATGCGTAAAAATTATTATTTTTATTTTTTTAACGTAAAAACATTCGCTCTCAACTAATACCGTTGCGTGAGTCATTCGGTGTCTACATTCCTACTCACGACTGACTTCCGATTTCCACATTTTATTACGAAAGACTTTAGTGACATCTGTTGCACGAGGGAGGTGTTAAAAAAAGTACCTATTGAAGCTACTACAATGGTTCTTGATGCGCCTAACACATCAAGCGACAGACTGATATTTCCCCTGTGCTATGCTGCCGCGCTGCGGAAAAACGTCGTATGAGCATTAATATGTTGCCAAATTTCCTTCAGGAAAATTTTCATTTTTTAATTCAGTTAAGAATATTTATCCTTGAAATATTCAGACACTTCAGATCAAATTACGAACAAAATTCTCTAAAAAATCGAAAGAAGCATATTCACAAATTCTCCCGAAAATACGTGATTCGTAGAAGGAAATTTGGCAACGTCGGAAGGCTCATATGGCATTCTTCTTCAGCACGGTGATATGGTGCGTGGCGCGCTTTGAATTTCATCGGGAAGAAACGGTTACTTCCGGATGCGATACCCGGCGCCGGAATTCACGGATGGCAGAAAGTTCGCTCTTTGCGTAAGATGGGCGCGAGGCGAGGGTCACGGCTGCGTCTGCGAATACGGTCAGCCCGAGTTCAAGCTCAAACCAAGTTCGTCTCTTAATGAGAAACCGGCTTAAAATGGAATCACCGAGACAGCGGTCTCGTATTTCGCATTTTACAATCAAGCTTGAGAGTTTTAATCGGCACGCTGTTAATATTAGACAACATTCAAAAGGAACAGACGTGTGAAACAGATTCGCTTGTAAATTACCCCCTGCCCTGTTGACACAGCGTTTAGCCTTTTGAATTTCGGTCAAATAAAGTCGGAAGTTTTTCAGGGTGTCTACAGAAATAGACTGGCCAAAAATTAGTACTTTTACATTGCTTTTTCAGGACATGCCCCGGCATGCCCCCATGCCCGGGAAATTCAGTACCTCCTCAACAGAAAAATTCAGTACTTTTTCAGTACCTCCATTTGACGAAATTCGAAAAATTCCAAACATTTAAATTTCTCGCTCAAATTGCGACAAAAATTTAAAAAAATTCCGGACCTTCTTGCGGAATTTCCGCACTTTTTCGGTATTTCAGGACTGCCCTTTAAAAATCAGTACTATTTCCGAACTTGTAGACGCCCAGGTATTTCGATTGATCCGGCAACGACATGAAATCGACCGAATGGAAACTAAAGTTTTGATGAGGGTGTGTGTTTTTTTTTTTTTTTTTTTTTTTTTTTTTTAAATGCAGTCATAGACAGTTTTTGATGTCACGGTTACGTGATGACAAGCCAACAGAGCAGGGTGGATTAAATTGGAACAAATGGAATGGAAGATGAATGAGCGGATCGAATTCCAAAAGTTTTGTGGGTAATTCTGATAATTAGCGCTTAACGTCTTGTTAAGCGTCATTCCGCACTCCTCCCTCGTACGAAAGAGAGACATGAAACTTGACGACGTTAAATCAATGCCGAGGTCTCCTCATTTTTTCTATTTCTAAATTTTTGAGAGTTGCAGAGAGAGAAAGAAGAGGGAAGAAATTTGCATGAAAATGACACTGCGATCATTCGACAACCGAAATAGAAGACCACTTTGTAGCACCGAGATAAAAATCCACAGCAGCGATGATAATTGACAGATAATTAAATATGTGGGTAAACACAACGCGCTTCAGCGACTATTGCAACTTTTAAACACAACACAATGTTAGAAACTATTTCCTTGAAATTGTAACTTTCAAACACAACCCGATGTAAAAAATTATTTCCTTGAAATTGTAACCGAACAGAACATTATCGCGATGGATGACGAGAGGAAAAGACGGACAAACCACACGACAAACCTTGAGTACTGTTTCAAACGAGCCAACGTCACGGAGAACCTGGGTGGTAAAAAAATTGACAATGACAAACTCTTTGACGAGACTAGAGAGAACAAACGGAGCTGGGGAAATCCTCGTCACCGAGATATATGGGGGTGGGAGCGAGAGAGAGAAGGAGAGAAGGGAGCCGCAATAGAAAACAGCTAGTCAGCCCAGTTGGACCGTTTAGGAAAATGGAATCAAGTAAACCATACGTTACGCGACATTTGTCTATTTCCGGGGGGTAGGAAGGGAGAGAGGACGAAAAGGGATCAAAAAGGCCACCCGGTGAAGGCACAGCAGAATCTAGGTAGTCTTCTACATCAATTATAATGTCTTGTCAGTATTGAATCGTCTAGCCGGACGTAACTTTTCGATAGGCTCCTACCTTAATTGGAAGAATTTTACATTAATGGTTCATTGTCAAATTTATTTTTGCCAGCATTTTTAATTTTAAGTAATGGATGCTAATTAATTTCTTTCTTTTTACCTCGCCTTCACTGACCTCGCCACAGAAAAATTGGATTCATTGTGACAAAGAGCAACGTTTCTCTGAGGGGCTGTCCAAAAATTACGTCACCCAAGTAGGGGGGAGGGGTCAAGCCAAGGATGACGTAAGCTTCCCTGAAGACAAAAATTTGGTTTTGACTTCATTTTAACTCAATTTCTACGATTTAAGAGTAGTTAATTCTAATTTTTCTCAAAACAATAAAGTTTGCGTTGTTTAATTTTTCAGCTAGTAACATATGTATTGTGACCGCAATTCTTTTCCTTTTTAAAAGAACACAACATGGAGGGTACGCAAGGATGCCGTAATTAATTTTAGAGGGGGGGGGGGGGGAGGCTG